GCAGCACTTGTACTCCATAACTTTGTTCACAATGACTGCGGGAAGTTTGTTTGGGGGGGCCCTTCTGGACAGTGTGGGGCCCCGGAAGACAGCAGCAGCGGGGCAGCTGCTGGCAGCAGCAGCAAGCGCGTGTCTTGCTGCCAGCAGCAAACTGGGGGACTGGGCCTTGTGCTGCAGCTGCGTGCTGCTGGGCGCAGCAACAGACACAGCTTTCTTGCCGCTGCTGACAGCAGCAAGGCTGTTTCGGGGCCGCGAGGGTTTGCTGCTGTGTGTCTTGGGCAGTGCTGCTTCTGCTTCCTTCGGAGTCCCGCTGCTGCTGCAGCAGCTTGCTGCGCTGCTGCAGCTGCAGCAGCCCCTCTCTGTCTTCTGGCTCTACGCAGCAGCAGGCCCTGGCTTCTGTTTGCTGCTCACCTGCCTCTTCTTCCCCAACTCCGGCTTCATAGACCCCCACCACCAGCAGCAGCAGCAGCAGCAGCAGCAGCAGCAGCAGCAGCAGCAGCAGCAGCAGCAGGGGGGCAAACGGCCCGTTTTTTGCAGTTTGGAGTTCTTTCTGCTCGCCCTGTACTTCTCCGTGGTCTCCTGCGCCGTGGTCTTCTACCAGGAGGCCCCCCGCCGCTTCTTTTCTCCTTTTCTCCTCAAAACTCTCCAAACTTCTCTTCCTTTTTCTTTCCTTCCTTGTCTTTTCTTCGGCCTTCTCGCGGACTCCTGGGGGCCCCTCCGCCTCATGTCTGCAGTCTCCGCCTCGGGCCTCTTGGCCTACGTCTGCGCGCTTCTGGGGGCCCCCCGGGGGCCCCCGAAGGCGCGTTTGGGTGGGGCCTCGCGTCAGTGCTGCTGTTCACAGTCTTCATATCGGCGTTTACGAGCCAAGTCTTCGTTTATGCGCAGCAAAGGTTTGCTGCTGCGGAGTTCGGGCGAGCTGTGGGGCTGCTGCAGCTGCTGGGGGGTTTTGCTGCGCTGCTGTGCAACCCGCTGTACTCTGCTGTTGCAGTCTCGCAGCAGCTGTCGCTCGCGAGGGTTTCCGAGGGTTTCATTTTGCTGCTCGCGCTGCAGTTCCTTTGGATCGCGGCCCTCGCGCGCCTCCACGCCGCACGCCCAAACCCTAAACCCTAAACCCTAAACCCTAAACCCTCGCGGGCTGCAAACCCTCGCAAGGGTTTGCACGCGGCAGCAAACCCTACGAGGGTTTAGACGGGCTGCAAACCCTCACAAGGGTTTAGACGCGCCAGCAAACCCTCACAAGGGTTTAGACGCGGCAGCAAACCCTCACAAGGGTTTAGACGCGGCAGCAAACCCTCGCAAGGGTTTACACGCAGCAATAGCCCTCATTAGGGTTTAGACGCGACAGCAAACCCTCGCAAGGGTTTAGACGCGGCAATAACCCTCATTAGGGTTTACTGCGGCGCTGAATTAGGGTTTGGACGCGGCAGCAAACCCCAGGAGTGCTTGAGGCGGCAAATTGAGTCTTCGCTGAGACTCTGAGGTGGCAGTAAACCCTCAGCCGCTGCAGCTCTTGAGAAACAGCCAATTTGCTGCTTCTTGTTTAATAAGAAGCAGACAATTTGCTGCTTCTTATTGTTTAGTAAGAAGAAGACAATTTGCTGCTTCTTATTTGTTTTCGAGCTGCGCGAAGTGCTGCTGCTTGTGTCAACTTGCTGCTGCACGGCCGGCCTCGCGGGCAAACTGGTGCTTTCTTTGAGTTAATAATCAGCACTTCTTTCTCTTGCAAACACTTTTAAAAAGTGCATTTGGCATTTCTTTGGCTTTTGCTGCTTCATCAAAGCCCAGCAGCTGCTGCTGCAGGCGAGCAGCAGCTCTTTTCAACTTGAATTTCTGAACGACGGCGAACAGCAACCAAATAAAGCTGAATACGGGTCTTTTGATGCAATTCAGTCTTTTCTGAGTCTTCTGGCTCTTCAAATTCAATTAAATCCTCTGAAGTTTGAGATAATGGCATTGATCGTTCGCTTTCAATTCCTCTTGGAATGCGCAAACGGCCGAAACTTGAATTGCGCAGGAAACGTGAACGGCAGGAAGCTGCATGCAAAATGGCCGCCCCTCTCTGCAAGCAAAGAGGAATTAAATAAAATTAAAGACAACTGAATAAATTTCAAAACTAATTAACTCTGGATCACCTCATTTCCCTCGATCCAGGACGCTGAACTGTCATGTTCGTGTGTATGAATTGCAGAAGTTGCCGGCGGCCTACTTGACTGACTGCTGGATCAAATCTAATTGTTTTTGTCTGTATTCTCGAGACGAATCAAATCTAATTGATCTGTCTGGTCCCTCGAGACGAAGCAAATGCAGCAGCAGCAGCAGCAGCAGCAGCAGCAGTTTCGCGGAGTGGCGTTCTGAACAGGAAGACGCGGGGAGTGGAACTGCACTAGTGAGGTTTCAAGAGTTGGTGGGCGCTCAGCAGTTACTTTAAACATTCAAATAATTGGTGTTTCTTTCCACAGGGCAGCAGCTGGTCACGGCGTAGCCTGCACTGCGCGACGGCCAGCCGAGTGGACTGCAAACTTTGCCCTCTTGACCGCAAAAGAAGAATAACAAGCAAAGCACTCCCTTGCCAGGCGATACGGGCAACTGCAGCAACACCAGTGGACCACTGGTGGTCTTTTCAGGGCCTTTTTTCCCGCGAAGCCGCAGCTTTCCGGAAAGTTGAACAAGCTGGAGCTTGGGGGAGGCGGCGGCTCAGTTGCTGCTTCTTCGCCTTCACGAGCTTCGCCGCCGCGAGCCCTCAGCACGCGCCACTCGACGCACCTAAACCCTAAACCCTAAACCCTAAATCGGCGGCTGGCGGCCCCGGGCGCGCGCGCACGGCGCTGGGGCGCGAGCTCAAACCCCAGACCCCTTTTTAGGGTTTAGAGGTTTTGCTGCGGCGCCAGCGGCCGCTGCAGAAATCCTCTTGCAACTATAATTCAGAGACGCAGGTCTCTGCGAGTGCTAAGAAACTGCCCAGGGCCGGCTTCCCGCTGCTGCGCGGCGTGGCCTCACATGGCCAGCTCAGCAGCAGCGCAGCAGCGGGGGGCCCCAGCGGGCGAGCTCGCGGGGCCCCCTGGGGTCCGGGGGCCCCCGGGGCGTCTACAGGGGCCCCCGGGGCCCCCCGGGGGCCCCCGGGGCCCCCCGGGGCCCCCTGGGGCGAACTTGGCGAAACAACGACGCAGAAGGCGGTAAACAGATTTCCTTTACCGAGAAGCCGAAGCCGCGCGCAGGACGGCGCTGCTGCAGTGGAAAGAAGAGCTGCGGGCTGCTGCTGCGGCTGCCGCGCAGCAGCAGCAGCAGCAGCAGCAGCAGCAACACCAACCCCACCACTTTGACGAAGGCGCTGCTCCCTAAAAAATCAAATTGGCCGCACCCCGAAGAAGAACGCGCGCGAAGGCGCCGGACAGACGACAACAACAAAAGCTGCATATTCTCGAGACAAAACAACGGAGCAGTTGGCCGCAGCAAAGGCCCTAGCTGGCCCCCGGGGCCCCCGGGGCCCCCGGGGGCCCCCGGGGCCCCCGGGGCCCCCCGGGGCCCCCGGGCAGCCCCTGGGGGCCCCTGGGGCCCCCTGGGCCCCTGCTGCGGGTAGTGGGGCGGGCTGCTGAGCCTGGGAGTGGGGGGCGCGAGTGGGCGAGTTCTGTGTCTCGCCGCGTTGTGCGGCGTGGCTGTACAACAGCAGCGGTCCCCCCCCGCGCAGTGGCCCACTGGTGGACCAGACCAGTGGACCACTGGCGGACCAGACCAGTGGACCTACGGCACCGAGTCCTGCGGCTCCGGAGACAGGCTCGGGTCCGTGAGCTGGAGGTCCCGCTGCTTGGCCCTGAGCTGCGCGGGGCTCTTGTCCGCCCGGCCCAGCCAAGCCAAAGTGGCAATCCAAAAGAACTGCAGCAGAAAAAGGCCCAACATAACCCCCTGGACGATCTGGAGGCCCCGCGGCAGCGCGGGGTTGAGGGCCACGCGGGAGTAGAGGGGATTGCATGCGAGCGAGCTGAGGCCCCCCACCATCTGAATGAGGCCTATGAGCTTTCCGAAGTGCTCGTAGGTGAAGTGCTGTTCGATGTAGACGAAGACTTGCGAAGTGAAGATCGACATGTAGTTCGTGAAGCACAAGACCGAGAGGTACCCCAGGGGGGGGGGCCCCCGGGGGCCCCCCCAGGTGAAGGCGTACATTAATAAGCCACTGGTGTTGGAGATTAATAAGACCCGCAAAATGCCCCAACGGTCGGCCAAGTAGCCCCAGAGAATGCAGGGCAGGAAAGACAGAGGCAGCAGCAGCTTGAGGAAGGCTTTTACGGACTCCGACAAAAGTCTGTTGTGGGCCTCTTGGTAGAAAGCGCTGGCCCAGCCGACTCCGACGAAATAAGCTGTTAAGACTAAGTACTTAGCCGAAAAAAGCTGTTTGAAGAAACTCGAGCCGGGGATGGCGCAGCGGGAGTCCCCGGGGGCCGGGTCCCCCACCTGGACTTGCATGCAGAGGTCCAGTTCGCAGTCCTTTGCTGCTGCTGCTGCTGCTGCTGCTGCTCCTGCTGCTGCTGCTGCTGCGGGCTCGCAGGGAGCTTGCGTGGGGGCCTCCCGACCCGCAGAGTCCCGGAAGTCCCGGAAGCCCCGCCGAGGCACAAACAGCAAAGCCAGCAGCAGACACAGCCCGGGGCCCAGCCCCGCGTAGGCCCAGAAGACCTTCTGGGGGCCCCCCAGGGGGCCCCCAGGGGCCCCCGGGGCCCCGGGGGCCCCCGAGGGGCCCCCCAGGGCCTTGTAGATGCTCTCCAGGACCAGGGGCACTGCGAAAGAAGCTGAAGCTGCACTTCCTAATAAAGTTATGCTGAGGCCCGCGCTGCCGGGGAAGAGCCGGGTGATGCAGAGGGTGGGGAGAAAGCCCATGTCCGCCCCCATGCCAATGAAGACAAAGCCCGCGTACAAGCTGCTGCTGCTGCTGCTGCTGCTGCTGCTGCTGCTGCTGCTGGCCGCCGTGCTGCAGGCCAGCAGCGCCCAGCCCGCGAAGTTGAAGAGCTGCCCCAGCACTGCTGTCGCCAGCGGCCCCGCGAAGTCCATGGCAGTCCCGGCCACGGAACTGAAGGTGGTGTGGACTGCGAGAGTTATTGTGTACAAGTGCTGCACTGCTGCTTCTTGTTCGTTGCAAATAAATCCTTTTTGCTGCCTCATGTCGTTTAAAAAAGTCCCAAATTCGTCTTTTTCGCACAAAAAAGAAAAACTGTTGGCCTGCAGCAGCAGCGAGGAAATGGAGGCCCAGCCGAAGTACACGCAGCCCGTGAGCAGTACGTACACCAGGTAGATGGCCAGCACTAAGTACCGGTTCAGCCCGAAGGGCGTCGGCTGCTGCGCCCCCGGCAGGTCGCTGCGGGGCAGCAGCGACTGCAGCGCCTGCAGCAGCTTGCTGCGCCGCCGCTGCTGCTGCTGCTGCTGCTGCTGCTGCTGCTGCTGCTGCTGCTGCGGGGAGGGAGGGGGGGGGCCGCGCTGCTGCGGCTCGAAGGCGCGCTCTTTCAGCGCCGCTTCCTGCATCTTTCTCGCCTGCACTCGCCGCCGCCTGGCCGCTAAGATAGCCTCGGGAAGGTCTTGGGATTAAAAAGCTTTTTGCAAAAGTCCGAAATAATAAAACTCGAAAAAGAACGCTGCGAAAGCCGCGCCCCAAACGCGCAGCCCGATGCTCGCTGCAGGAAGAGAGGCTGTTGTCACTCGGGCTTGGGTGCGCCGGCTGCTGCTGCTGCTGCTGCTCGCAGCTGCTGCTGCTGCTCGCTGCTGCTGCTGCTGCTCTCTTTAACTCTTATTCGGTGTCTTTTCCAATTTCGCCCGCCAAAACCCCGAGAAAACCCCAGATCAGCGGCTAATCCGCCGCTAGTGCTGCTGCTGCAGAACACTCGCCACAGAGCCCGCTGCCGCCACACGCCCCGCACCAAGCCCTCGCCTCCAGATCCGCTTTTATTCTTCTTTTATATTTCTTTCCAAACTCGCAGACTCCCCGAGAACTGCGCGAGACGCAAACCGCGCAGCTGTACATACACCCCAACACCCCGCTCGAAACCCCGCCGAGCGATCACCCAACTGCTGCATTCCCCCCCCCCATTAACCAAAAGCAGCTTATTTTTCTCGCCAAATTCCACTTTTTATTTAATTCAAATTGCAAAGACATTCAAAGAGGGCTCGAGGCCGCGCAACTGCGAGTTTCCGCTAGTGCAGAACCCCCGCGCAGCGCATCGCGGCACTCCTCTGCCCACTGAAAATGCACGAACTGCCTCCCCCACTTCTCCCCGAAAAGACTTCACTGAATTTCCACTTTTAAAAAACACCATTTGAATTTATTTTGCACTTTCTGTCCGTCTTTGGCCGCCGCGTCAATCCTCGAACTCCCGCCGGCCACCCCCCGGGCGGTTAGACACTCGCCGCACTTGCCCGCAGACTTTCTGCAATGTTTCGCCACTTTATTTCTTCTTTATTTCTTCAAATTGAATTTCTTTTGCTGCCGCCAACTCCTCCAAACTAGGAGAGGAGAAACGGGGCCTTCTTGCGAGCAAAAAGCTCCCCACAGGAGCAAGTGGAGCCCCTTTAAATCGCTTTTTTAGAACTGTTTTATCTGTGATGAGACATTAAATATGCCAAAGTTTGAACTTATTCAAAAGTTTGCAACTATTCGTTTCCTCGCTTTTGCTGCTGCGCAAAAAGAAAAAAAAGTTGGAGCCAAAAATGCACCAAAGTGCAGAACTCAATCGCTGTTTAAGTATCTTTGTCTTCAGAACGAAACATAAAAGATCACTATTTATTTATTTATTTATTTGTTTGTTTGTTTGTTTATTTAGTTATTATGCATTTATTAATTCATTTACTTATTTATAAAACTGGAAACGCGCAGAAGCCGGAGCTTGCTGCACCAAATAAAGAACTGGAGTTGCTGCAGCTGCTTCAACGAGACTACTCTATTTGCAACTTTAAATTGCAAATAATATTTCCATTTCTTTTTTCAATTAAAGTTCTTTGAATTGAAAATCTTTTTCAAACAAACTTGACTGCATGCATTTGCCGCCACAGAAGTCTACTAATATTTCGGACTCAGAGCAAAAGTAATATTCATTTCTAAAATTTGCAAAAAGAAAAAAATAATTTTAAAACTTGAATTGCTTTTTAGCCCCAGCAGATTCTGCTGCAGCCCTTCAAGTTGTTGCGAAGTTGCAGCAGATCAGAAATAATAAATTATTTAAATTATTTTATGCAAAAGACATGCATGCACTGCTTGTGAAGCTTTCCACTGAAGAGCGGCCACTAACTTCAATTAAAAAGTTCAAATAAAATCTTTTCAGTTTTTAAAAACTTCAAATGTTTAAAGTGCACGCAAAAGTCGCTAAAGGCAGCGCCGGCCAGGCCGCTGTAGACGCAGTCTAGCTAGCTAGCCAGCTAGCTAGCCAGCTAGCTAGCCAGCTAGCTAGCCAGATAGCTAGCCAGCTAGCTAGCTGGGTCATTAAACAACAATAAATGCATTTTGGTCTTTTCTACTTCGAATGTGTTTGCTCTTCATTAGCAGATGATGTTCAATAAAAAGCCAATAAGGCTGTCGCGGTTTTGGGAGGGACAAAAGAAAAACAAAAGACAAAACAAGAGACAAAAAGAAAAGAAAAAGAGTCTGAGACAAACAAAGAAAAGAAAAGAAAAAAAGAAAGAAAGTCTGAGACTGGCAAGTTGAAAAAGAAAACTGGCGAAGTCCACAAATAAAAACGCATGCACTTGTCCAGGTGCACGGCGGAAACAAAACAAAAGTGGAAATGAAAGTGAAATGAAAGTGCAAATGGTGCAAGTTTTGTTTTTGCACGAACGCAGACGCAAGTGTACGTACACCTGAGTGCAGCAGCAAAGCAGCTGCTGCTGCTGCTGCGCTGCTGCGCGTCCCGGGCCCCTTGAAAGCGCAGCAAGTCCTCGAGACAGCAGCAAAAGAAGTTTCAAGAAAGGAAATAAATAAATGAACAAAGAAGAGCTCTTGGCTGTGCACTGACAACCCCGTGCATGCATCGCCAGCTGTACGTACACCCCGTGCATGCATCGCCAGCTGTACGTACACCCCGTGCATGCATCGCCAGCTGTACGTACACCTCGTGCATGCACGCGCATGCACAAACTGAAACATTACATTAATGCAAATAAATTAATGTACACATCCATTAAAACTGGCAACAACGCGCACGGGACAGCTCGCGAACCGCGGGCGTTCAGGTGTACGTACACCCCAGCTCGCGCAGCAGCAGCAGCAGCAGCAGCAGCACAACTCTCTAAAGTGCTGCTGGGGGCCCTAAACTCGACAGCAGCAAAAAAGGAGACAGAAGCATTTGCTGCCTTTCTCCCTCGCGGGGTTTCGTCTGAGTTCCCGAGGCCCCGCCCCAGCCCGTTTGCTGCTGCTGCTGCTGCTGCTGCTGCTGCTGCTGCTGCTGCTGCTGGCAGCGAGCAGCAGCGGCCGCCGTGTCCCTGACGGCGAAGGGGAACTCGAAGGCAGCAGAAGTCCTTCCCGCTGCTGCTGCAGCTGTCGATACAGCTGAAGCCTCGCATGCATGCGCTCCACTTGCTGCTGCTGCTTTTATTTCTTTTTGCAATTCACTCCATTTCGAAGTTGGAATTGGAGGTCTCCCTGAGGGGCTGCTGAGCCTGCAGGGGCACTCCGCGTCGAGGCTGTCTGCTGCTGCTGCTGCTGCTGCTGCTGCGGCAGTTCGTGCTGCAGCGGCTGCGCCCGCCCCTGCTGCTTCTGCTGCTGCAGCAGAAGCTGCAGCAGCAGCAGCCCGCTCCGTTTGCTGCTCCGGCGCGTAACTTGTCTGTGTCCTTTCTTCCCATTGAGCAGCAGCAAGAGGAGGAAATGGAGCAAAAAAGGAACGCGAAACTGTTTTCAAATCCGTGTCTGCTGCTGCTGCTGCTGCTGCTGCTGCTGCTTCGCGCTGCTGCTCCGTGTCTGCCGCAGCAGCAAACTCAGCAGCTGCCTTGCCCTGCGCGGGGCTAGCTCGGCCCTCGCCGCCGCTCCCGCCGCCGCCGCTGCTGCTGCTGCTGCTGCTGCTGCTGCTGCTGCTGCTGGCTGCCACGCGGAGCTTCTGCTCGACATGCATGCGGATTTGTCTGTATTTTTCTTGAGCTTGCTTCGAAGCTGCTGCTGCTTTTTCTTCCAAAGAAGAGAAGCAGCAGCAGCAGCAATCCGCCCACTGGTGGTCGGCTATGAACTTCCCCAGCCGCTCCACCACGCTCACGCCCAGCACCGACTTCTCTGCTGCCTGCGCCACTGCAGCCTGCAGCAGCAGCAGCAGCAGCAGCAGCAGCAGCAAGCGGCGCATTTGAGCAGCAGCAGCAGCAGCAAATCACCGTCAGCAGCAGCAGCAGCACAAAACCGCCGTCAGCAGCAGCAGCAGCACAAAACCGCCGTCAGCAGCAGCAGCAGCAGCAGCAGCAGCAGCAGCAGCAGCAGCAGGAGTGCTTACGTTTTCGACGGCCCTGTTGACTGGCAGCCCCAAGCCGGAGACTCTGTAAGTGGCCTTTTGCCTGTAAAGAGTTTGCTGCGGGTTTTCCGGGTGCGGCAAATACTCGCAAGTTTCTTCCACGCGGAAGAAGGAAGCAAACGTGAAGTTGCACGACCTGAGCAGCAGCAGCAGCAGCAGCAGCAGCAGCAGCAGCAGCGGCAGTGGCACGGCAGGAAAGCAGCAGCAGCAGCAGCAGCAGGTGCAGCAGCAGCAGCAGCAGCAACAGCAGCAGTAGCAGGAAATCAACAGCAGCAGCAGTAGCAGGAAATCAGCAGCAGCAGCAGCAATAAATCAGCAGCAGCAGCAGCAGCAGGAAATCAGCAGCAGCAGCAGCAACAGCAGCAGCAGCAGGAATGGGAAGTGTGGGAGTTGAATGAAATCTGAATTGAAGTGAAATGAAATTAAAAGAAGTTTTAATTTTACTTCAGAGTCAACTTTTTTTCCTTCAAAGAACAAGTCGCCTGTTCAAACGCGTAGCCCACGGGCGAAGCGCCGAAGAACTTCTGCACCCATCTGCAGCAACACAGCAGCAGCAGCAGCAGCAGCAGCAAATCGGCAGCAGCAGCAGCAGAGAATCAGCAGCAGCAGAAGAATATCGGCGGCAGCAGCAGCAGAACGTCACATCAGCAGCAAATCGTCATCAGCAGCAGCAGCAGCAGCGCGTTTTCCTCGCCGCTTTCTCCGCTGACGCGAATCCAAAAGTGCAGCAGCAGCAGCAGCAACAGCAGCAGCAGCAGCAGCAGCAGCAGCAGCAGCAGCAGCAGCAGCAGCGGACTTGGGGCACTGGTACTTGAGAGAGAGCAGCCTGCGGCAGGAGAACTGCTGCTGCTCCGTGTCCAGCAGCAAATCGAGAGTGTCGACGCGCAGCACATGCGGCTGCAGCTCGTTGGGGTATTTGACCCAAAACGCCGACTGCAGCAAACAGCAGCACTGCAGCAAACCAAAAGTCCACTGAAGCAGCAAAACAATTATTTTAATTATTTCCATTTGCATGCAGAAATTTATCCTTGAATTTGCATGCAAACGAAATGCCGCCACAGCAGCAGCCAGCAGCAAGTGCAGCCGCCCGAGCAGGAGCGATACGAAGTGCTGCTCGAAGTGCCGCTGCTGCTGCTGCTGCTGCAGCCGCCGCTGCTGCTGCAGCCGCCGCCGCCGCTGCTGCTGCTGCTGCAGCTGCTGCTGCAGCAGCAGCAGCTGCTGCTGCTGCAGCTGCTGCTGCTGCTGGCATTTGGCGAAGCCCGGCGGGCAGAAGCAGTGGATTTGCAAGAGAGGAATGGGAAAGGCAGCTCACTGTGATTGTGTCCCAGTCATTGTGGAACACATGTTCTTTTTGAAATAAACGCATTGCAGCCTCGCAAGCTTGAAGCAGCTGTGGCGAAGTTGAGGCTGCAAAGGCAGCATGAGTCAGTGCTGAGTGGAAACTTGCAAAAAGAAGAACGGCAGCAGCGGGGCTGCAGCAAGGGGCCTCGGCGCCGCCGTTTCAAGCCCTTAGCGGCATTAATAAACGAGAAAACACTTTTATTCAACTTTAGAATCTCCAGAAATCCCGCAAAGGACGGATAATGCACGAATTCGAGGACAAGTCTCGCCGCCGCCCGCCGGCCAAAGCGCCTACAGCGGCGATCCGTGGAAGTACGGCGAAAACCCCTTCGCCAGACGGCGCGGAGCCATTCCCTCGGAATATTAAAGGTTTCCGTTCGCTTTTTAATTCACTAGAAAGCTGAAAAACGAAAGCGAGAGGGGAAGACGGCCGCAGAGGCTGCTGCAACACATGCGGGGTCTGTCCGCAGCGTAGCGGCCGCAGCGGGAAAGCGGGTGAATTTTGCAAGCGCGAACTGCAGCAACAGAAAAACTGCTTCTATAATAAGAAAAAAAGGAAATTTACGCAAATTGACGAGGCAGTGGCGGCGCAAAGTGCTCAGAAATGCCGCTAGGGCTGCCGCGGTGGGCCGGGCTGGCAGGGGCCCCCATGCTTCCGTTTGAGTGACCCACAAGGCGGAAAGCTGTTTTGAATCGTGATCATTTCCTCCTAAATGTCTTGAATTCATATTAGTTTCTTTATTTACCTTTAATTTTACTCCTTTAAACTCTCCTTCCCCCACAGACACTGCCCGCGAGGCTGCCCCCGCAACGCCTCGTTTCTTAGCTCTTCTGTCTGCAGCAGACGCCCTACTCCTTTGTTCTATTAAATAAGGATCAGTAACAAAGTGTAATCTACAATAATGAATCCGTAATGGCTCAAAAAGAAGAACAACTGCAGGATCGCAGCGAACGAACAGTGGGCACCAGGCCGGAAACTCGGTTAAAATTGGCCCTGGACATGCAACAACTGTGCAAGAAAAACGGAAAGTTAAAACGAATTGTTTAAACTTTGCAAAATGTGCTGAGGCAGCTCTGAAGCCGCATTTGGAAAGCTGATGAAGACAAACACGAAAACCTCCACATGCAGAACACCCGCCACAGAGAAATGCTCCTGCCTGTGCAATATATTGATCCAATGTATTGATCCTCCTGTACAATATATTGTGTACAAGCACACGAATAGATTACCTGTAGAGTATATTGTATGCATTGACTATATATTGTGTACATTTATACGAGGCATACAAGAATAAGAATAGATCTACCTGTACAATATATTGTATGCATCCACCTGTACCATATAATGTATTAATGTACAGTATATTGCATACATTTACATAAATGATATATTTTATACATTTATAGTACTTATGTACAGTATATTGTACACATTTATGAGGCATAAAGGCATACGAAAATGGCCGCGATTTAAAAGTTGCAAAAGAATGGGCGAGCAAAGGAGGAACAAAAACACGGCCAGCGGGCGGTGAGGCCCGGGTGTGATCTGAACTTCAAAAGCCACAAAAATGAATTAAAGAAATAAAATAAAACAACAAAATGAATTTTAAAAACTTCTGGGAATTAAAAAACAGATGGAAAGCTCAACGAACATCCGGGAAACATGAATGCATGCATGCGGCCAAGCAGATGCCGCCCCTCGCATTAACAAATAACATAAATAAATAAAAAGCATTTAAACATCGAAGAAAGACGTTTTAAAATACGAGGCACTTCAACTCGAAGAATTATGACAAGTCCATTCATTTCTCGAAATGTTTGAAAACTTTGCTGCAGTTGTTCGCAACTCTGCAGGGCCAGTGGAGTGCGTGAACTCCTGCTGGAAAGCTACAACTAGCTGGAGCTGGAGTTTCGAAAATGTTTCAAGTTTGGCCAAAACTGAATCTGACACTGTTTCATGTTTTCGTGGATTTGTTGGTGCAGCAACATCAAGGAAAAGTCCCCCGCTGTTATCAGCGCCCACAAAAGAGCCTCGCAGCCGTCAACTGCCGGCCAGAGGCGAGAGGGGAAAAGAACTGTTGCCGAAGAATTTAAAAACATGAAAACACCAAGAGCTTTTCGACCTGCTGTACAGACAGTCCAGGAAGTGGCAACACGCTCCAGGAACTGGCAACGCGGGCCGCAGTCATTCGCTTTCCATTAGTTACTTTCATCTAGCATTAAACTCAATTAAGATATTCAATCTTTCGGCTTTCAAGGGTCCCGACCCCGAACGGCGACACATTTGCTGCTGCTGCTGCTGCTGCTGCTGCCGCGCAGCAGCGGCGCCCTCAGAGCACAGTGCAGCGCGAGAACAGAAAAAGACGGAAAAGCGACGGAAAAGAAACGGAAAAAGAAACCAAACTTCCCCAATGCAAATAATGAAGCATAAATGCCAATTAAATGCATCTTTTTCATGTTTATTTTCTGTTTTTCTTCACCACCGACCCGTCATCGGAAGATTCACATTTGCAAAACAGTCCGACGAGTCTGTTGTCTGCACGAAGACGGGCAGATGGCCAGCGCCGCCGGCTGCAGCAAAAGCCAAAAAGAAACAAAAAGAAACAAAAAGAAACAAATAAGTTTTTAAATGCAGCAGCAAAAAAAAGAGAAACAAAACAAATAAGTTTTGGAATGCATTTCCGTTTTCACATTTCCTCTGGTGACACTGGTGGCCCGGAAAAGAAGCCAAGGCAGCCAAATCCGTGGCCAGAAAACGAAGCAAATTGACCCGCATTGCCTCAAAAAGTCTAAAATAGTTTTAAATAGTTTTAAATAGTTTTAAATAGTTTTAAATGTTTCAATTTGGATTTGCAAAATGCCAAAAAACCCACCATTGCCCCCGTACGTCTCGAGCTGAACTGTCTGCGGCATCCGCACAGCGTAGGCCAGCCAGCCGTTGCCGCCGTCTACCGGCGCGAACGGCGCCACTCCTGCGAAACGAATGAAAAGAAACAAAAGAATTAATAAATGAAACAAATAAATAAAATAAATAAAATAAAATAAATAAAATAAATAAATAAATGTTGAATTTCGAAAAAGGAATTCAACCAAGTCCTGAAGTTCCCAAATCGGCAACAGCGCCACTTATTTCCGTGCACAGCGCAAAAGACCCGGAAGAAACTATGTTCCATTTCGCCTCATTTTGCTCCATTTTAACTCATTTTACTCCATTTTAACTCATTTTAATCCGTTTTAACTCATTTTAATTCGTTTTATTCGAATCTGTTGGACTAAATTGAATAAACTCGACTAAACTGCGCGAAACTGCGCGAAATTCGGCGAAGTTCGAGTCAAGATCGCCCGCAATACCCTTCTTACCCGCCAAGACCACGGCCTCGTAGCCCCTTTCCAGCCACACTTTGAAGCTCCAGCAAGCGTACATTAAATACAATTCAAAAACAAGTGCAAGAGAGGCCACTACGAGGACCATCACAACAGCAGCATTTGTTTCTTTGACAGCAGCAACTTGCGCGGCCTGCAGCGCCCGCTGCTGCTGCTGCTGCTGCTGCTGCTGCAGCTTTGCTGCTGCTGCTGTCTGCGCGGCGTCCGCAGCAGCGCCGCTGCCTTCCCGCTCCTGCTGCTGCGCTTCTTCTGCAGCCGCTCCGGCCTCTGCTGCAGCTGCGCTGGGCTCTGCTTCCGCAGCTGCAGGCTTTGGTGCTTCTGCTGCTCCTGCTGGCGCTGCTGCTGCTGCTGCTGCTGGCGGTGCTGCTGCTGCTGCTGGCGGTGCCGCTGCTGCTGCTGGCGGCGCTGCTGTTGCTGCTGCTGCTGCTGGTTCTTGCTGCGCAGCAGTCTCCGGGCTGGCCGAGGCCTCGCTTCCTGCTGCTGCTGCGGCCGTTTCTCCTGCTGCTGGGGCGTCTGCTGCAGCAGCAGCAGCAGGTCCGTTTGCTGCAGGCTGCAGCTCTTCTTGCGTCTTTTCAGTTTGTGTTTTCTGCTGCTCATTCCCCCCTGCTGTCGGATTTGAATTGGGGGCCCCAGCCGCAGCTGAGGGGGCCCCTGCTGGGGCCCCTGGCTCCGCTGCTTGCCCCTGTGCTGCGTCGGGGGGGCCCCCCGTCTGGTCCGGACTTTGTGCGGCTTCTGGCAGTGGTTTAGTTTCACTAGTTGACTCTTTGTTGGCTTCTTGCTGCTGCTGCTGCTGCTGCTGCTGCTGCTGATTTGCTGCAGCGGGCTGGGCCGCAGGCGCGTTTTCAGGTGTACGTACACCCCACGGCGCGGGGTGCGCAGGCCCGGCGTAGTTGAGGACCGGCAGCGGCAAAGTGGGCAGCAGCGAAACTCGGGAAATGGGGAGCGGGAAAGCAGCAGCAGCAGCAGCAGCAGCAGCAGTTGCTTCTTGCCGCAGCATGCAGACGCGGACGCTGTTTTCCACGTGGGCGTTCAGCTGCGGCTTCAGCGCCAAGCCCAAGACCATCAGCAAACTCAGCAAAAGAAAAACGTGCAGCCGCCACCCCAGGAGAAAAAGAAAGACTTTTGATCTTTTCAAGTCGAAGTTCGCGGCGGAGCGCCACGAGAAGATCGCTGCAGGAAAGCGGCAAACAAACAAGTCCGAACACGCGATTCGGGCCAAAAAATGCGACTCAAAAACATAAAAAAGAACTAAAAACAATTAAAATTGAAGTTGTGACGAAAGCATTAGTGCGAATGCAGAAAACGCGGTGCGCGGCGCGGCCGCGGCGCCGCTCGGGTGTACGTACACCTGAAGAGGTGCGCGTACACCCGAGCTGCCGGTACAGCTGAGCAGGTGTACGTACACCTGAAGAAGCGGCGGAAAGCGCAGGTTTTGCGCGGAGTTGTATTTAGTTTTATTTTGTTTTGAATTACCTAAAAGGGCCATGAAGGCGCCGACGGCGAGGGTGCAGTTGTGGGTCCAGTTGCTGACGATGGGGAGGCAGAGCTTCTGCATCCAGTTGACTGCGAAGAGAATAAAAACGAAGAAAACTAAAGTTGAAACTGCAACAAAGTGGGCAATGAAGTCCATGCCCCGACTCAGCGTCAGGCGGCCCACGCCGAAGGTGATGGTGGGCCGCAGCAGCCCCAGAAACTTGGGCAGCCCTTCGGGGTACAGCACTGCAGCACTTGCTGCTGCTGCTGCTGCGCCTCTCCCGCTGCTGCCGGCGGCCTGGCTTTCCGGGGCTGCTGCGAAGGCCGTGAGGGCCCCCGCGCGCGGCTTCACGCCGGGGGCCTCTGGGGGCGCGTCCCCGTAGGCGTCGAAGGGGTTGCTGCTGCTGCTGCTGCTGCTGCTGCTGCTGCTGCGCGCCTGCAGCGGCTCCAGCACTGACGCCGGCATTTCCGTCCCGCTCGAAGATAACTCCGCCTGCGGAGACAGTCCATTTCCGCTGCCTCGCTTCGGGAAGATCGCAGGTTTCATTCTGCAGAGGGAAGACCCCGGGAGGCTGCGGTGTACGTACAGCTCGGCCCAGCAGCAGCACAGCAGCAGCAGCAGCAGCAGCGCGACGCCGACCGCCGAAAGCGGCTTCCAAACCCCAACTCGGTGGAAATTCAAGAAGAAGTCAATAAAGTGTCTACTGAAATTCCAAAGAAAATCAATTTCGCATGCACCAAGTGTCTCAACACCCGCCGTTCAACTTGAGTCGGCGGCTCGGCAGCCCCTGCATGCGCGGGCCGATCTCGCTGCTTTCCGCCACTTCACCGACTTTGGGGCTTTCTAAGCCTCTCCGAACATTTAATTGCACATTTATTTCCCTTTTAAAACTCAATTGCGGGAAATCTCGCAGGCAGCGGGCGGCACACTCCCGCAGCAGCAGCAGCAGCTGCTGCTGCTGCTGCTGCTGGCTGCTGCCAGCCATGTCCTGGGCAAGATCTCCCCAAGGGAGCCGCTAACTCCGCCCGCATGCGTTTTGCGCATCAGAGACGGGCCATTTGAGCTTCACCCTTAATTCTTAGGAGTACAGTACCCTGGGAGGCCCCCTGCAGCAGCAGCAGCAGCAGCAGCAGCAGCAGCAGCAGCAGCGCAGAGGAAGCAGGTGCAGCACCTGCGGAGTCCCGGGTAGCAGTGTAAAAGGCACGGGGAAGGGGAGACATAGGGAAACGGAAGCAAAACAAAAAGCCCCTTGTGCAGCAAAAGGCTGGCCCTTAGCTTTGCTGCTAAGAAAGATCAACTCAATTAATCCTTTTGCTGCCAATGCGAAGGCTGTGGAGGCCCATTTCCCACACACAGCAAACGGATGCAGGGGAGGCCCTTAGAGGGGCCCCTTAGAGGGGCCCCTTAGAGGAGCCCCTCAGGGGGGCCCCTTAGAGGGGCCCCTTAGAGGAGCCCCTCAGGGGGGCCCCTTAGAGGGGCCCCTTAGAGGGACCCCTTAGAGAAGTCCCTCAGGGGGGCCCCTTAGAGGGGCCCCTTAGCGGGGCCCCTTAGAGGAGCCCCTTAGGGGGGCCCCTTAGAGGGGCCCCTTGGCCTTTAATTGCAGAGATAAAGCTGGAGTTGTTTGGCATTTAGCCTTCAATAATGAGCAGCTTTTCCATTCTCTTGCAAAAAGCAAAAAAGAAAGAAAGTTTATAATGTGGAGCGGCTGAGTGGCTGCTGCTGGCTGCACCCCATGTGTGCATACACCGCACAGTGTATGTACACCCCAGCAGCGCCTCAACTGCAGCAAGGCAATTCAGAAAAGTCCAGAAACACTCAAATGCTGCTGCTTTCTGCAAATTGAAGATCTGCATGCATCTTTGCAAAAAGAAGACGAGAAATAATTCAAAAGAAGTGTTTTAAAGGCACAATTTGAAGGTTAATTTCAACTTGAAAGAAAACTGGAATTTCGCTAAGTCCGCAGAGTGCAGCAGTTTGAAAACAGAAAGTCTGCGTTTTCTCCGAACTTGAGTTGAATGGGAAATTAGTTTTTTTGGACTTGTTCAAAATGCCATTTAATTAATCAGCAAGTGGCTAGCTGCTTAGTAACAGAATTAAATGCCATTAATCAAACTTTAGAAGTCTTTGTCTTGTTTCTTTTACTGGCAAAAGTGGCAAAGTGCAAAAGTGCAAAAAAGGGACTTCATTCATGTTTTTAGTTTTCCAACTAAAAACATGAATTGGAGCTTTCAAGTGCACTTAGGCTCGTGTGCAAACTTGAATATTTGAACTTGAATATCTAAAGGTGTTCTTTCTTTCTGAGTTCTGAATTTTTGAATTCAAATAATGCCAGAGTGCCTCTCAACACTTCTCTCTCCACCGTTTTTCTCTTTTACTCTTCAAGTGCCCTCTCTGTGCCTTTTTGCTCCAGTTTAATCAGCTGAACACTTTTCAAGTAAAGTGCTCCGGGCTTTTTGCTGCACTTCCCCGTTGGCAATTTCAGCTTTGCTGCAGCGCCGTCTATTAGAGCTGGCGGCAGATAATAAGGAAAAGCAAACAGAGAAAAAAGTAAAACAAAAGATTCTTTTAAAGCTTTGCAAATAACTGAAGTTCTAAGACACAGCAGGTGTGACGGGCTGCAGCAGAAGTCCCAGTTCAGTGTGTGCTAACGTGTCAACGTGTGACGGGAAAGTGAAGTACTTGAGGGCCCATCGAAGCCTCCAATTGAATATTCGAAACCAAAATATTAAATATAAATAGTTTAGAATGTTTAATTTGAGAACTGGGACAGAGAGCAGCAACTTTTGCGCTGCTTCCTCGCTCGATCCTCAGTGGTTTCTGGTTGACCGGCCACGCGAAGACCCGGGAGGCACAAGTTGGCGAAGTCGGAGCGGATCTTTTGTTTTTAATAGTTCATATTTGGAAAATAAAAAGGGAAGTTCTCCGAAATTAAAAAGAAGGAAAGCCGAGAAGGGCTTCTGTGTGCCGTAGCAGCAGCAGGCGCATGTCACGGCGTCGCTCCGCCAGCCCGAAGTGTCCATACACCTCGGGACGCCGCCGCGATCACTGCTGTTCAGTTTCCCTTTCATTTTAATTCGAGGGGAATAAAAAAGGGTTTAAGAGGCCCCTGAAAGCGCATTTGCATCTTTTGCATTTAATTGCGACACCGCGGAAGCCAGCTAGCTCGAGTGCCGCACTCGCGGGCTTCGCCGGATTCTCCCCTTCCCTTTCGAATTTCAGAAACACTTTCTCATTTAAATTGAGTTATCTTCTTTAAATTGAGTTATCTTCTTTAAATTGAGTTATTTGTTCTTTGAAACTTCCAAACGCAGCAGAAGCTGCCCCATCAACGCAAACACCAACTGCTGCAGCTGCTGCAGCTGCGCCTCTGCGCGTTTCCGATTTCTGCAAACTCGCAGGTCCTCCATTTGCCGCTAAGTTCCATCTCCGCAGCAGCAGCACCGCAGCAGCAGCAGCAGCAGCAGCAGCAGCAGCAGCAAGAACAAGGCGGATTGGCGCAGACACTGGGGGGGACCGCTTCGGCTGAGGCTGTTTTGCTGCTGCGCGGTGCCCGGCGTCCGCTGCTGCTGCTGCTGCCGCCGCTGCTGCTGCCGCTGCTGCTGCTGCTCCGCGGTGTACGTACACTCCGACGCGCGCCCAGGGCTCACGGCCCGCCGCTGCAGCAGCCCGTGATGGTCGCAGAAAGCCTCCAGCTGCCGACTGGCGCCCCCTGCGCTTCCCGCTGACAGTTTTTTTGCATTTCTGCTTTTCAAAGTTCTGCTGCTGCAGCAACAAACCAGCAGCAAAATGAAGTGGCGCTGCTGGGGCCCTGGGCTGGCGCTGCTGTGCGCACTGGCAGAGGGCCTGGTAGCGGGAGCATCCCACGAGCAGCAGCAGCAGCAGCAGCAGCAGCAGCAGCAGCAGCAGGAGGGCGCGCATGCAGCGGGAGTGGCAGCAACGCCTGCTGCTGCTGCTGTGCTGACAGCCGTCAGCAGCAGTGCGGAGCCGCTGCAGCTCGCAGGAAATGGAGAAGTCCTTTCTTCCGTCACGAAGCAGCAGCACGTCCGGCCCTACAGCGGCGCTGTGCCGCTTTGCAGAAACTGCTTCGGGAAAGACGGGCAAAACTGCAAAGTTTGTCTCCACGGGGAACACGAGTCGAGCGTGAGTCCACTGGCGCAGCAAAGTCTGCACAAAAAGAAGTATTAAAGTGCCAGTTTGCAGCAATGGCAGTGTCAGTGGCAGCAGTAATAGTGGCAGTAGTGAAAGTGGCAGGAAGTGCGCGAAAGATCTGCACGTCGAGAAGCACGTTTGCCGGAAATTAAGAAACATTCAGAAATATTCCGGAAAATTCCGCAGTTTGAGAGAATTAATTAAGTGAACGGCTGCTGGCCGACGGGGGCTGAGGTGTGCGCGCGTGGGGTGTACGTACACCTGCTTGCGCTGCGTGTGCAGTTCCTGATGCCCATGACGAGGGCGCGGGAAAGCGCGGAAGATGAGACTTTTGCAGCTTTGGAAACGAACCACAACGCAGTGAAAAACTTAAATACAACCTTTTACATGAAAAGGGGAGAAGGTCCTTTTGGATCTCTTGGAAACAAACCCACTGACACGAAAGCCGGCGGCGCGGGCGCCACGAGCTTTTTGCAAAACAAAGCAGCAGCAGATACACTCGATCTCGAACTGGGACTTGCTCAGACTTCTGTGCCCATCATGCAAATGAAAGACGTAGGCCTTCAACTGGGGTTTTCAGACTCGGGGTTGGGTTTTTAGTGGGGTTTCCTTAGCACTAGACTGGATAGAAGAGCTGCGGCTTCCCTTTGGCTTGTCTCAGCGCTGCCTCTCTTTGCAGTTTCTTGCAGTAGATCCTTTTCTTCGTTTTCTTGCTTGTTTTTGCTGCCTGAGAGGTGACTAGAAGGAAGCAGCTGACGCCACTTAGGTTATTCCGTGATTGAATTGAACAGAGTCCGCAGCCTCGTTAGTTTGTTGTTTTTGCACTGAGTCAAATGCACTAAGTCTTTTCTTCTGTTTGCTGCTGCAGAGCCAGTACTGCGGAATGCTGGGCATTGGGACTCCGCCGCAGTGGGTCCACCCGATCTTCGACACGGGCAGCACGTGAGTTGCAGCAGAGCTCAGGAACAGAGGGCCGAAACTAAGTAAACTTTGTTGAAAATAGTGGCATTATTTGTCGATTAATTGGCTTTTTTTGCTAATTTTCCGTAGAATTGATCTGAAATGCACTTAGTGGTGGCATTATTTGTCGATTAATTGGCTTTTTTCTGCTAATTTTTCCCCAGAATTGATCTGAAGTGCACTAAGTGGTGGCATTATTTGTCGATTAATTGGCTTTTTTTGCTAATTTTTCCTAGAATTGATCTGAAATGCACTTAGTTTGTTAGTTAGTTTTGCTGGGTTCGCAGGAACTTGTGGGTCGTTGGCTCCAAGTGCGAAGACGACACTTGCACGAAAGTGAAGAGATTTGACCCCGAGAAGTCCTCGAGCTTTCAATACACTTCGCCGCCAGTGCACTTGGACATCACTTTCGGCACGGGGCGCATCGAGGGCTCCACGGGGGTGGACAACTTCCAAGTGGGGCCGTTCACAGTCAAGGGCCAAACTTTCGGACTTGTTGAAAAGGAAGGAGGCCACAACCAACACGGAAACATCTTCAAGGTGGGCGGGGCGGGAGTTTGGGTTCAAGTTCAAGGGAAGGAAAGTGTTGGCAGGCTTTGTTTGAAGTTCAAAAACTTCTAACTGGCACTCTTAACACTTCTCTTCTTTGAAAAGAGTCTGAGTTCAAGTTCAAGAACTTCAGACAATGACTCTTAACTCTTTTCTTCTTTGAAGAAGAGTCTGGGGTTCAAGTTCGAGAACCTTCAAACAATGACTCCTAACACTTTTCTTCTTTGATGAGAGTCTGCGTCTAAGTTCAAGAACTTCGAACAAAGACTCTCATCAAATTTTCTTCTTTCACGAGAGTCTGTGGTTGGAGTTAAGGCTGTCTGCTTTTGGTTTTTTGGTTTTTTTGGAGGGTTCGAGCAGCTGTCGCTGGCCATTAGTAGTCCATTTGTGGGGCTGTGCATGCATCTTTTTCATTTGTTGTGCACAAGTGTTTGTGTTTGCTTTCAGTCCATCAACTTTGAAGGCATTGTGGGCATGGGCTTTCCAGACATGTCCAGCACCGGCGCCACGCCCATCTACGACAACATCATGAAGCAGGCCGATCTAAAGCGAAGCGAGTTCGCCTTTTACGTAGCAAAGGACTCACCAGTAAGTCCATGAGGTCATATTTTCCCTGAGAGCAGTTCCTTGTTCTTGGCACATTATATCTTGGGAGTAGTACGCATGCAGGCAGCACAGTTGTTCATTCAGATTGATGGTTTATGATGTTTGTTCAAGACTGATGGCAGTGCTGGAGATGCAAGTTGGATGCCACAGTCGTTTTGTTTATATTTATTCGAACTGGACTGGATGTGCAACGTTGTCCTTAGGTGTCTGCTTTATTTTTCGGGGGCGTGGACCCGCGATTCTACGAATCCCCTATTCACATGTTTCCCGTGGAGCGCGAGCACTACTGGGAAGTGGCATTAGATGCAATTTACGTTGGAGACAAGAAGTTCTGCTGTGAAGAGGGCACGAAAAATTACGTCATTGTGGACTCGGGAACGAGCTTCAACACCATGCCGGGAAACGAAATGCGCAGCTTTCTGGAAATGATACCCTCACAGGTGCTGCGCGGTGCTTGGGCAGCTAGCTAGCTAGCCACTTGAGTAGCTAGCTAGGCAAACAAGTGGCTGGAATCTCGGGTGGACAGCTAGCTTGTGGAATAAAAGAGTAGCCTGTTGCTGCAGCTTCCTAGTTTGTGCTGCTGACTCCCTGGAAGGCTTCTGCGTACGCCTGACTTGTAGTCTGCAGAAGTTGTACATATATATATACATACATATATATATATTATATATATATATATATATATAATGCATCTTGGGTTTGCGTTTATTGTTTGTTTTTGCAGGAGTGCGGAGACGACGACTCGTTCCTGAGCAGTTACCCCGACATAACTTACGTCATAGTGCGCAGACCGTTCAAGTTGCACATATCGAGCTGACTAGCTGCTGCAGTTGGTTTTTCGCTGCTGCGCTGCAGCAGCAAAAGCCCAAGTGCTGCTGCGCTGCAGCAGCAAAAGCCCAAGTGCTGCTGCGCTGCAGCAGATCGACTGCGTGGCAGTTGGAGCTGCAGCAGCAAAAGCCAAGTGCTGCTGCGCTGCAGCAGAATTTAGCCGGAGTTCGTTTTTCTTTGCTTCGCAGGGCGGCGTGAGCTTCGTCTTGAAACCCGAAGACTACCTCGTGCGCAGCAAAACCAACTTGTGCAAGCCGGCCTACATGCAAATCGACGTTCCCTCGGACTTCGGCCACGCCTACATTTTGGGCTCTTTGGGGTTCATGCGGCACTTCTACACTGTCTTCAGACGCTCCGACGGAACCACCCCCTCCCTGGTAAGTCTAAAGCTGAACTTAGACTGTTCAAGTTGCACATCTCGAGCTGACTACCCTAAACCCTAAACCCTAAACCCTAAGCTCTGAGCCCAAGAGCAAACAGGCTGCAGAGCCTATTTGTTACTGTCGCAGCACAGCGGCAGTTTTGGGGCTTGCATGCACTTGCATGCACTTGCATGCACTGAGGCAGAGACTCGCAGGCGCGGGGTGTTGCATTTTTTGTGCAAAGTTTGCAAATATTTGCAAAGTGGAACTTCTGTGTTTTCAACATCCCCGGGTGTTGCATTTTTTGTAAATTTGCAAATATTTGCAAAGTGGAACTTGTGCGTTTTCTGCACAGGTGGGCATTGCGCGCGCCGTGCACAGCCCGGAAAACCGGCAGTTTCTGCAGCAAGTGGTGAACTCTTATCCCTCGGGGTCATTCAAGACTGAGGACATTTTGGCATTCGAGAGAGGCAGCAACAGGCTGCGGCCCGAGCTGCTGCAGGAGGACTCAGCGCTGCGGGCGCAGCACACGACTAAGCTCTGAAGACTGCATGCAGAGCCCGCGGGAGCGGAACGCAGAAACTCTATAATAATGTGGCAACTGCAGTCACTATTTGTGCAAAGTTACGCAAATCTGTCCAAGTGCGCAGGCAGGGAACTCCGCAATTTGAAGTGAAGAAGCAGAGAAGTGAAGGCGTTGCCTGCGGCGGCGCGGTGTCGTGACACCGCGCGTCGCGGGGTGTCACGACAGCAGCTGCGTGCAAGCTTTGCAGGCGCGCACATTTCAATGGCAGTTGGAACTCCGCGAGTAGGACTTGTGCGCATTTTGCCACTTTGCCACTTTTGGCTTTTTCTTTTCGGATTAATGGCCACTTAGACCGCTTTGCATGCGGCGGGCGTCTCGCGGCTGTAGTTACACCGCAGGGCAGCCGCTGCGCAGGGAGCGAAAACCCCATTTGAGCGGTTGTTTTGAATGTTCATAATTCCAGTAAATGCAGAAAGTTAGAGTTTTTGCTTCAGCATGCAACAGTAGCTGGCTCTGCGTTTTTTCAGAAAATAATATCTTTCAAGTTGCAGCAACGGAGAGCCCTTTGTGGGCGACTTAAGCACTGTACAAGGGCCCGGCGCAGAGCGCCCCTGCAGCCAGAAAAGAGTTGTTTGCAAATTCATAATGGAAATAAAATGAAGATGAAATGAAAGAAAACAACCCACCTTCGGGACACCAGTTTGCCAAGTCTTCCGGAAGTTCCAGTATGACGGATGCGTCTTTCCCGAGCTCCGTGGTGGCGGCCTGCATGCAAATTGTCAAAAGAAAAAAAAGAAAATTTTTCCAAGACAAATAAATACCTTAAGCTTTTGCGACAGCTGGGGAATTTGAACCTGCGGGACCCTGAGAGGCTGCTGCATGCATGCAGGAGTTTCAAAAAGACTTGCAAGAGCCCCCACCACTTCACGTCTCCTGCGGCGAAGTCCGCGGGAAATAAAAATTCAAAAATGGGACTTGTGCAAAAAAGACGAACCGACGAAAGTGCCGCGGAACTTGGCCAGCCCGCCTCCAGCTAAGAGTCCCGCTGCGCCTTGGGCTGAAGCGGCATTTCGAATTGCAAAACTTTATTAATTATTTGTTTTAATTTGATTTATTTCCCACAGTCTTCATAGCCCTTAGGCCGCGCCTCCTCCAGGTCCTGCTGCTGCCGCGTGAACTTGACGGGTTCCTGCCCCTCGACGCCTGCGGGTTGCGGTGTACGTACACCCCAGCTCTGCACACTGCATGCACTGCGCACCGACAGTCACGCTGACGTCTCCCATTTGTTCCTGCACATTGACAGTGTACTCTTGGCCAGCTGCGGGCTCTTTGGCTCGCGTTTGTTCGAAAAAGGACTTCTTTTTGCCTCACTTTGCACTCGGAAAGCTCCTATGGATCCCAAATTAATTCTTTCTCCGTTCTTCACGCGCACCAGACTCACGCCGCCGCCGAGGCGCAGCAGAACTGCCCAGAAGTTTCTTTCCCCCACTCCGCGAAAGAGAAGTCCAGCCTCTGTGGCTCCGTGGAGAGAAATCGAACTTTGAATTTGAGTGCCTTGGCAAAAGAAGTCCCGCTTCATCAACGCGAAACGCGAAGACACCCGCCGCGGCAGAAACAAGTTGAACGGGAATGCATGCGGGGGCTCCCGGGCCTCCTGCGAGCTCGCGAAAACTATAGTTTGGTGGGGAACGTCGTAAGACCAGCCAGGCGCCGGCAGCCAGTCTGCAGCGAGCTGCGGGGGGCCCAGGCGGGGGTCCAGCATCCACCGCGGGCAGCCGCCTTTCTTGAACAGTCTTTTGTACTCGGCCGGCTCTTGCGCGGGGAAGAAGACGTTGGTCACGAACGTCATCAAATCTATTTTGCTCTTCGTCTCCGCAAAGCGAAAGCGGCTGTGAGACGCATCCGGGAAAAGAAGAAACATCTGCGGATTCCGTCGGAGGGCCAGCGAGCGGCGACTGGAGTAACCAAGTACATTTGAGTGTACCGCCACCAGAAAAGAAATGGCCAAAAAAGGCCACGCCAGTTGAGATCCCATTACAAATTTGGAAAAGGATAAACACGAAAGCCCACTGCCTTAAGCGCCACCAAAACGGCGTTTGCAATTGGCACAGATCGGGGTGTACGTACACCTCAGTTTAGATATGAAATGGCTTTCTGGGCACACAAGAACGCACCATTTAACTGAACTTCGCGGAATATTAAATTGAATTCCCTTTTGTCAAATCTGTAGGGCTTTTTTCTTCCATTCGTTGCTTTATTGAAGCAATCGCTCTGCACAACACGCTCCTCCTGCGCGCCCGAAAACGGATCGCTACTTCCATCCCATGGGTTAACTGCTTTACTTCTTCCAAACCAAATTTGCCCTCCCGCTTTATAATTTGTTTATCACGCAGAATTTTCAAGTCTTCCTCTTCTGTTGTGCTGAACTGTTCAAACACAGCGTGCTGTAGGAAGGAAACCACAAAGCCCATCGCTCTCTGAAGACAAACCCAACAAGCGACCGCGGAGTTCATTCAGTCTTCATCTTTCGCACTCCCTCAGCAGCTTACAAAATACTCTCAAAGTCAAATCAAGTAGTAAAGTGCGTGAAGTTAATTGGACTTTGCCGACCTTGGAAGCGCATGCCGATCCGCTGTTCTCCCCTTCTGCTGATGAGTCCTCGAAAATTGCGTTTTCCGTAATTACCTGCATACACAAAGCTAGCAGATACATTAATTAGTACAAATTAAAGAAATACACACATATATATATATAATATACACATTATATATAATATATATATTATACATATATATATTATATATATGCAGCAAATAAGTTAAAACGGACCTTCGCTGCCCTTAGGAGCCGCTCGTCAGGCCCCAAGTCTTCTTTAACTGTCACGAAAGGGTTGTACTTGACTTGGGGGGCCCCGCAAGTCTTCACATCTGAAAACCTCGGGAGTGCCAGTCCCATCTTAGTTAATTCCTGGACTGCAGTTTGGCCCAAAAAGCTGAAGTCATCCATCAGCAGCAGCACTTCCGCGCCCACAGCGCGCAGCGCAGAGTACACGCGTTGAGGGGTAAATTCCACTGAGACCTTCTCGTGGCTGAGATGCACGCAACAGAAATATGGATGTCTTGATGCATGCATGCATGCATGCATGCATGCATGCATGCATGCATGCACATATACACCATGCATGCATGCATGCATGGTGTGCATGCATGCATGCATGCACATATACACCATGCATGCATGCATGCATGCACATATACACCATGCATGCATGCATGCATGCATGCATGCACATATACACCATGCATGCATGCATGCATGCATGCACATATACACCATGCATGCATGCATGCATGCATGCATGGTGTATATGTGCAAACGCACGTTAATGTGAGTCGAATTCATTCATGGATTTGCATGCTCTTGCGTGCGTGCGAGTCCTGTATCTTTGGACTTATCTTTTTTGAATTAAGTGGGACTTTTAACCTGCAGTTCTAATTCTTGATAACTACAAAAAGTTATCTTCTAAACTGAACTGCACTAAGTGCAAAAAGTGACGCATGCATGCAAAAAGACGGTCACTTACGCAGCTAGAAAAACCTACAAATGTACTTGTGAGTTCTCAAGAATTAGAACTGCAGGTTAAAAGTCCCACTTAATTCAAAAAAGATAAGTCCAAAGACACACCTAAAACTCTCTACTCCTTTTGTTGTAAAGTCTTGCTTTAGCTGAGCTAGTTGCTGCTGCTGCCAGATCTCTGCATGCATTCTGAGCTGCTTGCTGCTGCTGCCAGATCTCTGCATGCATTCTGAGCTGCTTGCTGCTGCTGCCAGACCTCTGCATGCATTCTGAGCACGAACGACGACGACGGTCTCCTCTGCATGCATTCTTAGCTGCTTGCTGCTGCTGCCAGATCTCTGCATGCATTCTGAGCTGCTTGCTGCTGCTGCCAGACCTCTGCATGCATTCTCACGGGTTTTTCGCAGGAAGCAGTCCGTAGTTAAGCAGCAGCGTGGGGTTGTCGAAACTCCCGAAGGAAACTTTTATCTCCTCTCCAGCAGCAATGTCACGGGCAGCCACCAGCTCTACAGACACGCCACTTGCCCCAAGGGGGGCCCCCGGGGGGGCCCCCTCAGGGGCCCCCTCGGGGGCCCCCGTGGAATCCCCCGTGGGGGCCCCCTCGGGGGCCCCCGTGGAACCCCCCTCGGAGGCCCCCGAGGGCCCCCCTGAGGGGGCTGCCAGGGGGGCCCCCAGGGGGGCCCCCGGGGGCCCCCCCGGAGCTGCATGGGCCTGGGGGGGCCCCGCGGAGCCGCGGGCGGGCGCAGCAAACCTGAGGGTGGCGTTGGCGGCCTCGGGGGAGTGGCTGCAGCAGTCGAGGAGGGGAATGAAGGCGAAGTCCCCCGAAGGCAATTTGACGGAGCGAGCGGCCACAGTTGCGAAGGCCTCGAGGAGCTGCTGGAAGAGCTGCGAGCGCTGCAGCAGCGCCGCGGGCCTGCGGGCCCGGAGGCAGCGGCGCAGCGCGGGGCCCCACAGGGAAAACGTGCACGATAATCCGTGCAGGCGGGCCACGGCGGCCTGGGCTATGGGGTGCTGCAGAGCGCGCAGCTCCTCAGCAGTCCAGAAGAGCGGAATGGACTTGCGGGGGGGCGGCAGCAGCCGCAGGTAGAGGCCCCAGCCAGAGAGCAGGGGGGCCTCTGGGGGCCCCTTCGCGCTGGGCGGGGCTTGCGGGGCCCCCGGCACCAGGCCGGCCTTCCGCAGCTCTTGAAACAGAGCCAGCAGCTGCGCCAGACGCAGCTTCCCAGCCCAAGTTTCCCCCAGACCCAGCTGCTGCTGCTGCTGCTGCTGCTGCTGCTGCTGCTGCTCTGCAGCCCCGCCCGCCGCCGCGGGCAGCTCTTCGAGCAGAAGGCCTGCGACGGCCTTGAGGGCGGCGCTGCTGAACTGCAGCTGCGGCGGCACGCTGGCGATCAGCTCGCCGCGTTCGTAGCGGCGAAGACACAGCAGCCGCTGCTGCGCAGCAAAGCCCGCTGCGCAGGCGAAGCTGTTGGACTCTGCTTCGAAGTGGGACTGCAGGGCCAGCCCCTGGACGTCCACAGTGCCGCCGTGCGCAGCCAGCCACTCTTTGAGCTGCAGGAAGGCGGCGCTGGCTTCGCCGTCTGCTGGCGGGCTGCTGGTGCTCGCGGCGCCGCGGGGGGGGCAACGCAGCCCGTTGTGTCTCAGAGAAGCAGAATGCAAATGTTGTTTCTGGAAAGAAGGCCAAAATGAGGGGCTTGGCGCCGTTTGGAAGCTGTTCGAGCCGCGAGGAGTCGGCAACAGCCAGCAGACAGTGAGCAGGCTCAGAAGACGCATGTCCACCCAATTAAGTCATTCCGAAGCTCTGGAAAAACACTCCGCCACAGGGAACAGCCTCACTGGAGAAACTGTGCAACTTGTTTCAACAGCTTTCAAGAAGAGGCAGCGCGGTGACAACCTGTACACACTGAGGTCTCCAGACTGCGTCGGCAACCCATGCGGGAAAAGATGCTGTGAGCCGCTGTGGATTAACTCAAAACTGTAAACGTGCACTAAAAATTTAAGCGCATTTTACTTAGGACTTTTAGAAGCAAGGAAACGCTGCTGTGCGCAAGTGTGCATGCATCGTGGGGCCGGTGGTACTTGAATCGACATCGGCTCCTCAACTCTGCCTTTTCTTTTGTTGCTGTATTGGCCAGAAACAGGTCATTTGTAAGCAAAAGGCACTAGGTATTGTTGCTGTGCGGTTGAAGCTCGATTTTTTCACCTGGACATAGAGGACTTCATTTTCTCGTACCGAAAATGGCTTCCCTAGAGGAAACAGCGAAGATGTTTCAGAATAAATTCGAGAATATGATAAAGGAAATTACTATACTCTCCTTGCCTATGCAGAAGAAGTCGTTCCAATGCTGCGTTTCGTGCTTCGATTCGCACAAGCAAGATCCTGAGAAGATAGCTGAATGCATCAACCAGTGCCACGAGCCCAGCCAGTCCTTTAACAGAGTCCTACAGCGAGAAGTCGAAGGCCTCCAAACCAACATAGAAAGCTGCCAGAAAGTAGGATTCATTGTGTCGGCGTGTTTTCCTTAGCCATAGGCCGGAGCCATAAACCAATGAGAGGCTACAAAGCTAGAGCCAGAGAAGTCAGATTCGACGAACCCTAAGGTCGATGGTCAAGACTTGAGCAGCTACATCTGAAGGCACGAGTCGCAAGGTAATTCGCGTATATGCATGGAAGTGTAAGAGGTGATGTGCTCTGCTCCGCTGTTTTGTTTTCCAGATTTGCTTCAACCGCCTGGCCCCGAAGCTTGAGGGAGCTTCGTCTCAAACGGAAAAGACAGCCATCGAACGGGAGAAAGATGAGTGCTTTGTGCAGTGCTTTACAAGCAACATCCCTATCATTGCGGAGATCAGAGACCGCCTGAAACGGCGAATCTAGTGATCGAGCTGCTCACGGAATAACGGGGGAGAACAAGGCTAACTACGGCTTTTGGACAGCACCATTCCACGTATATGAAGGACACAATTGTTGGTTTCGCTCCTTTGAAGCCGCGATGTGACTGCGGTGCAACACTAGAGCCGTTCCCGGGCCTTCCTCTTTCAGGCTTCGTGCCTTCGGCGCCAACCTGGAAGTTGCCACGTCATTTTTTTCAACTTTTTGCCTCCTGTGATGCCCAGGAGCTAGTTAATACGTTTTCTCGTAGATGGGCATGCTCTGTAGATCTGCATTTGCGGGGGAATGAATGTACAAGCTCAAAGACTCTAATTTTTCTCTTTGTCGCAGCACTAAAGCCCTGCAGTGACTCAACGCTCATGGATACTTGTCTAGTTTCCGTACGCGCGTCGGTTTTGCATCACTTAAGTTTTAAATACCTGCGGCTCGAAGGAGAAAGCCACACCATCTCAGGACACAGTTTGTATTTGCCCACCACTAGCGGCACTACTACCCGTCCTGCTGCACTTGAACTGCACTTGAAGTGAGTCAAGTGCAGAGTTTCTGACCAGCTTTCAAAATAGGGACGAACTGCACTTGAAGTGAGTCAAGTGCAGAGTTTCTGACCAGCTTTCAAAACTGACTCCTGCGCCTCGCCTATCTGCGCTTGAGCAAACAGCGAAACCGCTCCCTAACTCCACGGCGCAGCACTCGTCACTTAGCTCTGGTTGCTGGGCATGACGTGAACCAGAAAATCGAATGGGAAAGTGACAACAGTCCGATGGCTGCTCGCATGCCACCCTGAATTAGGTAGCAGTGCTGCTCCAGCGCTCCCTGTTCCCCTGAAGCGTCGTTGGGTGCTGCGCCTACTGCCTTGGCCGAGCTGCCTGTTGTTCTTAGTGGTCCTTCTTGCTGCCTCATCTGGCACAAGCTGGACCTGAGCTTTCACTGTGTTCATGTTATAAATTCCAGGACACGGAAAGAGGGCTGTAAACTCTGCACGGGCGCTTTCTCCAGGTGGCAGAAGTCCTAGGTCTTGCGTCACCTTCCCCAGCCAAATGCAGCACCCGTCTGGCGTAGCGATTGGCGAAACTCCACTTGCATTTGCAGAAGCCGAGCTTACCGCATCCGGTGAGGTCGGTTGCTTCGGCTTGTGAAAGGGAAATGCGTGGGATGCTAAGGGGGGTATTGCTGACTGCTGCGAGTGTTCACGGGGAATCGCGTCCGTGTATTCCTGTCTCTTTTGCGAGTCCGTGGCAGCACGCGCGCCTGTTCCTTCAGGCTCAGAAGCCGATTCACCTGACCCTTGTGCTTGTTGCTCGGGCCTTCCTGTACCGCAAGCGCCCGCTAGGGGCTGGGTGTCGATAGGAGTTGCGTCAAAACCACCCTTGGCCACTGCAGACCTCAGTTCTACTGAATTTCCGTGGTGGTTATATTCGACTATGTGCTCCTCAAGACGCGTCGCCACACCGTCGTTGTAGCTCAAGTCCGAGAGCAGAACTTCCTGTGGCAGCATGATCTCCTCCCTATCATCTTGCACCACTACCCGTGGACTGCACAGAGGCCGGAGGTAAGTAAGAGGCAAAGCCATAGGATATGGGCCTTCGTTGGACTCTGCTGGCCCCCATCTGTCTGCGTGTGTGACTTCTCCAACTTCAGTAAGACTGGAGCATAGTTTAAGCGCATCTGCCGCTGCTTGTGACCTTTGCGTCGTCGGTTGCTTTGACGTCAGCGGCCCCGGGCGGGAGTCCGCGAAAAGCCGCAATCTCAGGTACAAGGAGTTCGAAGTGTTTCGAACATTAAATGACATTGTACAGATGCATGGTTCGTGCATCTTCCACTGCAGAAACTGCCTAGATGACGACAGGTTCGGAGCGACACTTAATTCAACGGGAATATCTTGCGGTCCCATAGACAGCGAGATCTGCACAAATAAATAACACAAACAGAAATTCTGAAACATCAGCTCATAAATCAAGAATCATGCAAACGTATCATAGGAAAGCCAGCTACAGCAGGAAACTGTTTTGAGTCCATAAGAAATGACACTACAATTAAAACAATCCAACTGCAGGCCTGCGGGGGAACGTAGATATTTTGATTTTGGTTTTCGCTTGAACACAATGATTCTTTTTGCTTTACTACTTATATGTGTCTGCATGAAGGAAATACGACGCAATGCGTTCCCCAATTCATCATACTACGTGATTCACGCGGAAAACACAACCTAGAACTTAACCCCAAATCAAGACGGACAACAAAATGCTTCTTCTGCAGACTGCTTGCATGTACTCACTTCAAACCAAGAGCACTTTTTAAATTAATCATACATTCACACGTGTTTATAGGCGCAGGGAAGCACTAAGAAGCAATGTACGCATCTGCGCACATGCTTATGCTTACACAGACGCGCACACACAGACACACACTGGCACACACAAGCACAAACCCAGGCAAGGACACAGGAACACACATGCACGCAAAGGCACGTACATATATACACATGTATATACATGCAAAGTAGAAGGCGCAGATGTCGACAAGGAGTAGGCGAAAATTGTATTTTCTGCTGGCCGATAACACGGACTCCTCATGTTCCTTGGTTTCATGAATACAAGAAAGCTTACTGGGTTAAGGGCTAGAATCGTCCCCTCTCGCCTCATTTTTCCCTCCAGGTCTTTACCAAAAAATAAGGGAGGGGAACTATCGACGGGGTCAGAGTCCTTTGGGTGTTCGGGTTCGCTGCCTGCCGCTGCCCAACGCAAGGCCACTCGAATGCGACTCCTGCAAAAAAAAATAGACGGGTTCCATCGAAGCTCATACGTTCCGTGTCTTTTGTATATGCACATGTCTAACAGTTTTTCCGGCAACGAAAAAAAGCTCTTCAAAGCCCAGCATTTCAAGTGCGCACAAAATCTCACACCTTTTTATAGAGCAAAGTGGCAAAAGCACAAGCAAATACAAACAGAGCAGCATGTGCAAAGGTCACTAATCAAGATCTATTGGTAATGCTCAACCAATGCTCATCTAGACACTGCAGGTGGAGCTCCTATTCATAGGTGAGGGTCATGCAGAAGTAATAGCTGTGCATACCCTCCAGCTTCCACGATGCGCTTTAGCTTGTCTGGTTCTTGAGCGGAAAACACAAGTAAGAGCTCATCATTTGGATCCAAGACCTTTGAAGTTGCGCTTGGAGTGTCTGCGCAGTTAGCCTTTGCGGCAAGCTCTCTGTAAGGTACCAGTGGGAGAATCATAGGGGACGACGCCTCTCCTCGACCACCACGCAACGCGTCACACGTTACCTGAATGAGTGGGGGATCCGACTCTCCATCTCCAAGCTCTTGCGTACCTTCCTGCCCTCTCTGCGCGCGGGAGAGCCAAAGGGCGCTCAAGCCACACACTTGCAGGCAGCGGGAAGAGACATTCCGTACGCGACACAAGAAGAGAAAGTTCTTGGGGTCTCGCCAAGACAGCCGCTGCACAGCCACACGACGAGAATGAAAGCAAGCCAAATTGCCGTCCCAAATAGCAGCCTTGCACAAAATTGACAAAGCAAGATCCGATTAGCATGTAAAGCCCCCCCAGCTCACATGGCAGCAGCTATCTTTTCGGAACTACACATGTTGTAGCATCTGCACTACAAAGTTACGGAAGAAGGGGCGAAGCATTGAAAAACTAGCCGAAACACCAAGCTGGCACTGCAGCTTGCCACTCACCGGCTGTACATGCAGCTCAAGAGATGGAGCAACCGCAAGAAGCGCCTCCACGACTCGCCAGACGTGCTGATCAGCGCTCATACCAGTCTGCTGCTGCTCTTGCTGCTGCCGCAGCAGTTGGCCCCTGATGCAGAAGCGGACACGGTGCAGACCGGGATACGCCGCTCGCACATACAGCCGCAAGCAAGCCACCATTCTGGAGGGCAGGACACTACAAGGCTCGTTGCAGCAAGGGAGTGAGCTGTTGCTTGCTTCATCCTCTCTCGTCCCAGCAGCAGCGGCAGCGGTCTTTGATACCAGACTGAAAAGCTGTACTGCTTCCAAGCCATCAGAATTCCCTATTGCAATGTCTCGGCTGTTGCTGCTTCTGGCGATTCGGTTGCTTGAATCCAATGAAATGACGTGCAGCGGAACGCCTCCCACCTCACAGACCCAATCTACTCCTTCAGCATGCTGTTGGCTCTGCTTCTGCTGCAGGGAGCTCTGTAATTTGGCTGCCTCATTTTCCGTAAGAAGAGAGGCCGAAATGATAGAGACAATCTCGTTAGGAAATATGGCGACAGTCAGCTCGGCGAGTGAAAGACTTGATGCTGCATTTCTCACAAAGAGGAAGCACTCCCGTTGCTCCCCTGCAAGCATCCACGAAGCGGGAACCTCTTCAGCACCTCCCTTAGGGCAAACTGCCGCTGCCACTCCTGCCTCTGGCGAGCCTTCCGGGACAGCAGGCCTAAAGCAGGTGCAATTTCAACCGCAACCACATCTACAGCAACTCAGTTCACTCCTACCTCCCCGTAACGATCATCTACAGAAGCACTAGAAACCGACGCTCGCTCCACATGTAATGGATTTGTTCTAATGAACGTCAGCTACAGCTCACTGCATTGACTTGTTCAGAGCCCCATCTGCCACAGGAACATCCCCCTTTTGCTGCTGCGGTTGTTGCTCTAAGGCCAGGGAGGTCTCTTCCGCGGATGCCTCAGTTTTGTCTTCATCGGGCATCCCGTCCGTTGCGCTAGGCTGCGCAACACGCCGACACGGGGGCCCAGGCCAGGCCAAAAAGCTGCAATCGAGAAAAACGGCGTCCGCAGCAACCTCGAGCTCTAGGCGTAGGTCTGGCTTGTGCGTCTGCTCCGCCCGCTTGCGGCAGTTCCAACGGTAAACCTGCGGAGACGCAATGGGCGGGTGAATTCCGTTGACGTGAAGCAGCACAGAAAATGAGGAATCGACCGGTAGGAATTCTAGCAGCAATAGCACCAGAAGCCAACAAAGCATGCCGAACGAACGCTTCTTTCTTTAAGGTGTTGGTGGTGAAAAGAATATGCTTCCATAAAAAACCTCTCCTGCGGCACAGCAGTCTGTAAAAATGTACCTCTACTGGGGTGCCTGTGTGCAGTAGCCTGAATCCCTCTAGGTCCAAAGCATAAAAAAGAGGGAGGCCTCTGAGGAGTCGCGCCAGCTGAGCCTTTGCTGCAGGTGTCTGAGGGCTCACGAGAGCCTGACGGATCAGATTGAGGCGCTGCTGTAGCCTGTAGGGGCCTCCCTCCGGCTCTGCCGTGTCAGCAGAGCCCCCATCGTCCACTTCTACATCAAAATGAGAATATCTCAAGTTGAACCGGCGCTCTGGCCGATGTGCTCCGTGCTGGAAAAAGTATTGGCAGACTCGCACTAGACGAAAGAGCACACCGACGACACCTGAGCGATCGAAACAAAAAGCGAGTCGAAACAGTGCGCAGATTTGCAAAAAATTCAGAAGCACATGCAGCATTCACTGCGTGCGTAATCTGCTGCAACTATGAACGCTGAAGCAACCATAGAAGGTCACTGACGCTATCCAGGAGCTGCATATTTTGAACACTGGCCATCAACTTACCCTGAATGCACAGCCGGCCTGGCTTTAAAGGGGTTGCCATCAATCTTACAATCGCGGACTGGGTGGGCTCAAGCTCTATGGTGGTAGAGGAAAAGGCAATAGCCTCTGAGTGACCCGGGCAAGGAGGATCCTTGAATGCTCCTGGAACTGTTGCAGCCGTGTCAGGTGAAACTGATGTGGGAATAAGAGTACCAAAAAGACGAAGGTTTGTCAACTCTACGCGAAGATCTAGAGGATTCACCACTCGTAATTCAACTGTAACCGGAAGGCCCACCGCAGTCCGGCGACGGAGAGACTCAACTACTGGGTAAGACGAGAAGACCAACCTCTGCATGCAAACGAGCCGAGGACGCGTAACGTGCCTACCTGGTAATTTTCGACAGCCGGCAAGCAATCATAAGCTGTATATTGAGCACTTCTAATAATATGAAGAGGTACGCAACCACATGTCTAGGCGCGCCTCTCAGGAAGTGCTGCCTGTCACTTGCTATCATTTGAGTTTGCTGGTCTGACGGATGTCTTGAAGTTGCACCGGCAACTGGCTAGTGGGTGAGATGCAAAAAAGTGCGTACATCGAAGCCTGCTTCTCTCTTGGCCTTAGCGCCGGATACAGCCCCTAGTTGGCAAAGATGGTGCGAGAAGACGCAGTCCCAAAACTGCTCTTGCACCTTAAGTTCCTGCACGGCCTGTGCCGACACCCCAGGAGCAATGAGCTTGGCTAGCGCTTCGCATGAGGGTGTTTCAGCGTTGTCTTTGAGTGATGTCGAACCAAGTAACGGACAATGCGCATCTCTCTCCAAGTCAGCGGCAGGCACTGACGGTAGGTGGACTTCGTCTCTATCCGGCAGCAGAGCATCACCAAGGAGGTAAACCCCAATGCTGCGGAAAAAACGCAGCCGCGCAACGTTTATGTAGATTCTTTTAACCTCGCAACTGCAAAGCATTAAACCAATAATACGCGGCACTTGCGCGCTAGAAGCGAATCAAAACCAAGGACGTATTACGGAGACGCAATGAGAGGGGCAGTAGAGGCCCCAACTGCTACCCTGATTCACGCGTTTCTCACCTGTCACGAAAAAGCCCAAGTGGATCCCGAAGCTGCAAAATGGGAACACGCAGTTCCTGTTCTAAATCAACGTAATGTAGAGAGCTACCTGAACCATCCGAAAGCACCTCTGAGGGCCCAGTAGCTTCCCCTGTGAGGCTTGGAGATTTGGTAGCTTTGTCTTGTGCCGCCAGCCGTTGTCTCTCGAGCAGAACTCGACAAACAAACAGAAACTCCCTGATGTAATGTGACTGTCGCTCTGGGGGGATCGACGGAAGGCCTGCAAAGGATGCAGGGGTCACAAGTATAGGGCTGGGGTAAGGGGAAAGTGAACGCGAAAAGCAGCAACAGTGGCAGGCTGTCATGCGAACTTCAGATGTAGGAACAACAACAGCAATAACAACGATAACAATATCAGCAGCAGAGCGGACACCAGCAGACACAAAGAGAGCCTACCTGCTCCTTCACTTCCCGAAAGGATACGGCATTCGTGCAGGGTAGCGATGTCGTTGAGGAGTCCCAAAAAGTGCATAATAGATTCCTCCAGTAGATGCAGACTGAAGGTCTGCCGCGCCATGATAAACCGCAGGTGCTGAGCCACGTGGTGCCAGCCCCCTGCCTCGTACTCCTCGAACACGTGCAAGTAGCAGCGCAGTGCGAACCGCTTGTATCCTGAAGCACAGAACAGCAAACTCTAATTTGACAGAATCGCCAGTCAGCCGGCCGGTCAGTTTCTCAGCAGCCCTTCTCGGCCGAATGGGGCTTCGACCACGCTAAGGCTGTCCTGTCGAGAAAATTGTGCCGCATGCTTCTCGTTGGAAGTGGAATTGGGAGCGTGTCTCATATCAGCGGGGAAGCTGTAAATGAGCACGTCACGGCAATGTTGGAACCTGAACATTCCCCGTATTAAAAGTGGAACACAAAACGGCACCAACAGCACTAGTAGTAGCAGCAGCTGTAGCCTCTCACCCGCCTTGTAGTATGTGTGGCCCGCCATGACTAGCTGGAAATTTCTCTTCCTCCAGTACGACGGCCCTGCTTGCTCAAGACAGACCGCAGCTTGCTCTAGTAACATGGCGCTACGAATGGCCTGGCTTTGTGCTTGGATAGCTGAAAAACCTTGCTGCGGCAGCTGCTGTTGCTGCGGCTGTTGCTGCTGTAGCTGCTGCTGCTGCGGCTGTTGCTGCTGCAGCTCTTGCTGTTGCAACTGTTGCTGCTGCAACTGTTGCTGTTGCCTCTGCTGCTGCCACACTGCGGCATCAAGAGAAGGCAATTCCGCATTGGCAGCAATGAGGCGTCGGGCCACTTCAGCTGAGGCATCTGACGAGCGGCTACCTACGCCAATAATAAGTGGTAGGTGCAGGACATGCGGCAGCTGCAAGAAGCTGGGAGTGCTGCTGCTGTTGCTGCTCAGGCTGGCGCTGCTGCTGCTCATATTGGCGCTGTCCATCAACAGCCGATGCCCCAACAAGATGCAGCGGAGCGCCAGGCGCCCCATAGCCGCCTGTACAAGTACAGACAAGAACAAAGAGAAATACCTCCACAATAAAAGCCCCCGCACTGTTGTTATCAGCGCAGACAGCGAACCTGTTCTTAGTGTTCCGAAGCTTCACTGGACGCTAGCTGGTCACAGTGGCTGAGAAACCGCGACAGGCGGCATCATAATAGGAAACAGCAAAGATTTTCCCCACCTTCACATACGCATTGTACGCTTGGTCGATGTAAGACTCGACTTCCCGGCGAGGACCGCCAGTAGCATGCACGGCCACCCCACACATCTCGTAGGCACCGCCTGAAAACAGAAGTAAGCTTACACAATTGGCTCTTCGCAAGTATCTGCAGTACTGATGTCTACTTGTATAATGCGCCTCAAGTCCTGTAACTTGTACAGGAAAAGCGAACTGTGCTTCTTTTGCTTAGTGTGGCGCCAAATGTGGTTCTGATCTAAAGATTATATAGTGATCTCTATGTCCTAAGACGTAGAGACTGTAGGCTTACCGAGATGTACCCAGCGTTTGTCTTGCTTGAAGTCAGCAGCACAACTCCTATAACTCTGTAAGGCCGCTTCTGGTTGGCCAAAGAACAGACTTAAGTCGCCTAGTAGGCGGTATTGCCATTCGATGGCGTGCAGCTGAATGCCAACTCAAGCCCTCAAGTTTATGACTTCAACACTTAGCCCATCTACAGCCTGAACCCAGGTCCCTCACTGCCTCAAATCGCTGTGTTTCTAGGCCACACGCGGGCAGTTCACGCAGAATACCCGCTTAAAGAGCCACCCACACGCATGCTAGGTATTAAATGAACAATGCCAAGGACCAGGCACAAATCGCATACGAAAAAGAGTGGTATCCACCAGACAGCCACTAGCGCCACAACACTAGAAGCAGCACCAACGCGAGTGAAAACCTCAGCTTACCACGTAGCCTGGAGACTGAGACGCAGTTGGAGAAACTGGGGCTCCCCCGCTTGAAGTCTTTCCCTCCCCTGTTTCTGTAGGGGATCCACCTGCGCTACCATCGTTGCTGGCACTTCCCGAGTCCCCTGAAACACAGCAGCAACACTGTCACAGCCCCACTTCAAGTCCCACAAGCAAGAGGAGTAAACACGAGGAGAAGTGCCAGAAGGGAAAACAACAAGGTAGGCAGTGTGGAGAGGCAGCTCAAGCATGCTCAATGGCATTCAAAATAAAACTTCACAGAAGTTAATCTGATTTGCTGCAAGCTTAAAGTCACAGAGGCTGAACCCTCGACCCTAGGCCCTGGTTCTTGAATCTGACCTAGCAGAGCACCTCCTACGGCAGACAAGAGAGCCTCCGCCGCTCCGCCCGCTTCTTCCGCTGCAGCAGCAAGTCCAGCCACAGCATCTGCTGCAGCACTAGGTGTTGCTGCAGCAGCAGCTGCTGCTGCCTTTGGCTTCCTCCACAAATAGCGCAACTGGTTCCTAAAACCTCGTCTGTTGCTGCTGATGCTCGAGTCAAGCTGCCGTATGCGTTGCTCTGCCCAAGGGACGACACAAGAAGCCACAAAATGGCGAACAAAGGAACCCAACCACTGCAAGTCCTGCCAACCTAAACCAACACAAAAACTGCAGCCCAGGCATGCAGCAGCAAAGCAGCCACCGCTGCCGTCATCATACGTCAAAAATTGCTGCTGCGGCTGCTGTTGCTGTTGTTGTTGTTGTTGTTGCTGTTGCCGTTGTTGCTGGTGCTGCTGTTGTTGCTGCGGAGGTGTAGGCTTATTCGGTGACAAAGAAGTGGCGGTGGTGACTGTCAACCGCGCAGCTACGGGAATTTTTTCTGTTGAGCAAATTATGGAGCTTGCACGCTGTTGCTCCACCTGACTCAACGAAGCCTGATTTTGCTGTTCCTGCTGCTGCTTTCCGAACTGCGGCGCGGAAAGGTCCTCTTGTGTGGCAGCAGCCGAATGGTTTGCGTGAGGGGGAGAGGGATGCGTCAGGAGAGTTGGTGTGAGATTAGCGCTTAAGGCTTTGTGAAAGCAAAAGGACAAAGACTGCGAATAGAGAAACCGAATGGCCGGCAGCAGCTGCAGAAGAGTAACAAGCAACGCATGTGCAACACAACACCACTACAAATGCACGTGCTGACAGTAGGAAGACTCCGTTGCTGACAGTAGGAAGATTCCGTTGGGATTCACGCATCAGTGGACCACGTGGTGTTAGTGCTAGTGGTACCTGTAGGTGTCGTTTGTCAGCGCACCCACGGCCCAGCGTAAGCAAGTGGCAGTTGGCTGGAGGAAAGACGGCACACAGTCGTTCCATTATTTCTGTGGTTCTCGTACTGTTCTGGTGGTGCCCCGGAGACCACCCTACTGCCCCTAACGCCGAGTCCTCTGACTTCGCTGACCCCGTCAGATCCGTCACTGGTCCTTCTGCAGACGAAACCCCACCGCAATTAGGTTCAAAAGACGAAGCCTGCGAGTGTGGGACCCCAACAGACCCTATATGCCGTTTTTGCATCCGGGCGTCGTAAGCATCTGGGTGCACATCTAAAAGTATAACCGCCCTAACAGGGTTCGGGTCGAGTACGTATTGCCTGCACATTTGCGGAAGGTTAGAAGGCTGAAGCAGGCCCTCTAGCGCAGCGACAGGATCCAAGTCTCGGGTGCTGACGACTAGGATGAGTCCGACAGGCTGCGACAGAGTTTCATGCGGGCTGAAACGAGACCCCTCGAAAATCACACGGCGCCACTCTGAATACCAAGGCAACTCAGCCCCATCAGGCGACCCTGCGGCGGTAGCTGAGGGGCCCCCAATGACCCCATTTATGCCAAGGGAGCCCGAATGCATCTGCTTCCGCAGTTCGCTGACGCTTGGTGACGCGAGCAAGAGGGAACGTGTAGCGAGAGACTCTACATCTGGACAGGGAATGGGTTCTGCTTCCTCCAGATTAAGAAACCGAACGCAGAACGCACGTGAGAGTCGTCTCAGGTTGCCACCGCTGCTCGAGCTGCTGGCTTTGGTGCTGCTGCCCGAGCCGGTAGCAGTAGCATACTCGACGCGCAAACGCAGTGATACCGGAGGTACCTTAGGCACTACGTGCGGACAGCCGCTCAGCTGGCTCAGCTGTTCTGGGGAGAATTCATCTTCCTCATCAGATGCGGCGCCCGAAACCGGGGAGTCTGCTGCACTCTCAGGTGAGTGCCGTTCAGGTGAACCTCCATGACTCCTGAGCCTATCATTGACGCGGTGCACGACCTCTCCATTAAACGGCTGGAACAGACACGCCAAGGACAGTCCAGTTAGGAATGCAACTTCCCTTTTGGCCGTCTCAGACCCTCCGACGAGGATGTACGGCGCAAAGGCACGCGCCAGCCATTGGCGCTTGTGCACGCCGTCGACTTGCATCTTCAGGCGGCCTAAGAATGGCCTCGTAGAGGGTCCATTGGGGGCTCTGAGGTCACTGAAGCACCAAACACTGCTACCAGCTGTAGCGAAAAGCAGCAAGACAAGCTAGGCCGTCCTTCCGAGCATGGGTAGAGCAGGAGGCATGGCCATGGAAAGTTAAATGGTATGCTTGTAGTCTGAGTCGCCCTTGTGAGGTATGCGGAGTCCAATGAGCTAGTATATATAGGCAGCTCTTGCTCACTCCCTGTGCAAGTCCGCTCCAGCACACTAAAGGGTTGGCAGGTAACCATAGGGCGATCGCCTAGATATGCACAGCGACCGATGCAGAAACGTTACCTGGATTCAAACAGAAAATGCAGTACTACGAATTTTTTCCTGTGGACAATTCTTTGCCGGCACTGGAGGGGCCTGCAGCCGACGCCGCATGCTGCCACTGCGAGCACCTGGGGGCCCCCCAAATACAGTTTTTCCCCAGACTTTACATTTTTCATCGGTCATGCGCTATATTCGTTGAGTTTGCGGCTTTAAGATCCCCACAAATATCGTTTCAGAGCCGCTGCCGCCGTCAGCTGCGCTTTCTCAAACGGTGTTCCCACAAATGTAAGCTAGACTACGCGGAGCCCTGCACTCCCCTATGCCTAACGATATAACGTAACATTTTTGTTTGTTACATACATAAGCTAGTAGAAAAACTGAAAGCGATCTGCATCAGAGGGTTCGCCAGCTTCCGAGTAAGGCGCCACTCATTTGTGAGCAGATGGATTCTGTTAGTTGCTGTTCTGCGGTGACATTTCGGTTTCTCGAATCGTAACACTGAAGAACCGTCGTCATATTTTAGGGGCTGAATGCTAAAACAGCAAACAGGAGGCACTGGGAATTGTTTGTTCGACAGAGCAAAGATGAGTCACGTATTGGAGTCGATGGGACCGTCCAAATTGCCCAATGGAACGAAACAACTAGCTGCATGGAAATTGTGCATGGAAATGTAGCAATGGGCAAAAGGGTGTTGTAAAACCTCGCCTTGCATGTTTGTTGTGCGGCGGTTAGTTGGTGATTTAGGGGGGACAGGCCTTGTGTTTCAATGTGAAGAACTTGAGTCTTTAGATTCCTCGTCCTTTCAAGATTTAGAAATACTCTTAGTAGAGTCTGAGAGCCCCAAGAACGCTGGTGCATAGTACTGCCAAATCCCCTAGCACTAGCTATGGGCAAAGGGCGAAGACACGCTCATGTATCGGGCAGGGACTGTTTGGTTGTTGTCTGAGTTTATGTGAATACCTGAATTCTAACCAAAGGCACTTGCAGAGCTGAATAAATTTTTGAAGGTGTCCGCACAGATGTGCAATCAGCTGAAACGATGCAATGGTCGCGCTCTGAACTGCAGGCTGCGCCGCAGTTCAGACTCTTAGCGCACCATCTTTCAAGCATACAAATGACTCCATCACCGTCATTCAGTGAGGTAAGAAATGTAGGTATGCGCTGGACCAACTCTCACAATGCCTAGCTTCTGTCAGGAGATGCGACGTTGCTTCCAGAGGAAGATCGTGGAAGTACAAAACCCACGCGTATTAAAACCACACAATTAGCCGTTGTTCGGCTTGGGGGACGTATTGATGCAGAAAGAATGGCTCTGCCTCCAATTCACAACTCAACTTGAACCAGTGATGAGCTGAATATCTAGACATAGCGCTCCTCGCATCTTCATGTTCCGCAGATTCTCTTCAACTAGCTAGCTCGAGCTACCTGTCTGCAATGGTCTCGCCTCGTCGAATACGTGCCAGCTCCTCAGATAGGGTAGACACTTTTTGGGTACTTGAGAGTAGTGCACCAAGTAAGCTGTGCACGCGAGCACTGTCCGCCGCCGGGTTGCAGGGACTGCAAGCGCCCAGCGCGAGGACCAAGTAGCCCCTTTTCAGCAGTTTCGTATTCTCTGCTGCGTAGATCTCAGGTACACGGTGCACCGAACTACAATGGGCATTCTAGAAAGGCTGCTACGTATCGTCCCAGGTGCTCTGTTTGTCTGATGCAGGGAGCCATTTCAGTAGCTATTCTTGCTAGAGAATAATTCTGTATTCAACTGCATGCCGATGCTAAAATGGACGCTGTTGGCGTCCTCTCAGGGAGCTTAAAACGCCGTTGGCAAGCTCAGACCGCGTAGCTGCACTGCAAAATAAGAAATTGACTGGCATCCAATTGATTGAAAAGAAAAGCCAGTGCTGTGCTGCGTATACGCTTATGCAGCGTTGCACCGACATGCAATAAACCGCAGTAACTCAGTTAGAAGCAAGCGATATTCTGTGCATGCGGCTCTGTCTTGGCACGCACAAAGAGCCGCAGCGGCATGCGGGATCACGACACAACTCGTTTCACGCTGAAAGATTATGCCGCTGCGTGCCGAATAAACGAAAAACATTGCAAAGCTGTCCATGGCTGTTTTGTAAAGCCCAGTTTGCATATTTAGTTTACTCAAGGGTCCTGCACTGCAGAATCAGAACTGCCCCCGTTCTGATCGATGGCTGTCCGCAACACCAGGGGCCTCGTTCGGATAAAAAACATGCGAATCAAGACAGCATACATTGAAAGCAGCAGGCCAATTATCGGGAGCTGCACAATATATAACTCTCTTTCCCCTAAACCCACAGTAAGGTGAAATAATGGACTACACAAAAGAGACAATAAGCCTCCAACCATCTGAACAATACCGATGAGTCGACCAAAGAACTTCGCAGGAAAATTCTCCTCGATGTACACGAATACTTGCGAAACGAACAGTGCCATGTAGACCGTAAAGCACAGCACAGAAAAGATGCCCATGGCGAGCGTTTGCTTCAAGCTGAAAACGTACGCCAGGACGCCTGCTGTATTCACGATCCCCATTACTGCCAGAATGCCAATACTCTCCGACAGTTTCCCCAAAATTATGCATGGGATGAACGAGAAGGGCAGCGCACTACCTAAGAAGTCCTCTGCAGCCGGGACGAGAATTCGGTCATGCGCTTCCTGATAGAAAGCCGTAATGCATCCTACTGCAACGAAGTAGACAACAATGAGTATATATTTTTCTGAAAACATGGTCCTCAAGAAGGGGTGATTCAGTTGTGCCTCATGCGGTTCGTCAGGCTCTTGCTGGCCCTTTGTTTCGATTGGGGCCAGTGACTCTGCGTCTGAGTCTCCAGTTTCCTGCTCTGAAAGGGGCGGATACTTTTCTGCTACAGAGTGATCGCTCATCTCCAAAATCTGGCCCTCTCCAAGGCCATCGTCGAACGCAATGAATGGCTTCAGTGGCATCACCAGTGCGTCAACTACAAGGAAAAGGCAAGGGCCAAATCCAACGTACCACCAGCAGCCCGAAATGCCACCATCTGCTATGTACGTGTTTAAAATAAGCGGAATAGCGAAGGAGGCAGAAGATGCGGAGCCCATCAACGTGATGATCGTGGCAGCAGACCCGGGAAACAGGCGCGTGATGAGCAGAGTGGGAAGAAAAGCTGTGTCTGCACCGAGGCCCATGCAGATAAAGCCCATGTAAGCACGCACGCGGGAATCTGCATTGAGCGTGGAGATGAGACACCATGCTGTAATGTTGAAGCATTGTCCAATCATCGAAGTGATCTTTGGGCCCAACGTGTCCATCATTGCGCCAGCAACAGCACTCATCGTGCAGTGGGTAGCCAACGTGATGACGAACAAGCTCTGTACAGAAGCATCCTGTTGATCACATATGTAGTTGTTGCCTTGTTGCCGCTGGTCGTCTACAAAACCTCCCTTACCGTCAGGAGTGCACTTGAAACTGAATACTCCGGCCTTTAGGAGCATTGCTGAGAGCGGCGCCCAGCCAAAGTAAACGCATCCCGTCATAAACGTCTGGAGAATGTAGAGTAAAAGCAAAACGTAACGGTTCAGATTGAGGGGCGTTGCTTGTTTGGCGCCCGGCAAGTCTGCCCGCGGCAGCACACGACGCACCATCTGCAGGGCTTTCAAGGCCCACCAGCCTCCAGAATCTTTTTGCTCCGTCATGTTCTGGCATAAAAGAAGAAAGGGAAGAAGCCGTCAAGCACCGCCGCCTTGGGCGAGACAAGAGACTTCACGAGGCGTACCAGTGGTCACTGCTCAGGGGGGCCCTCGTTCGATGTTAACTGCTGCACCCGTGAAGAGTAAAACATGAAGCAGCGACCAGAGTGGGACTCAATTGACATCTGAAATGATTCCCATGATTGCTCTTAGCATATAGCCACGTTGCTGTGTTTGCGTACACATTGGGCACCAGGCTGGTCCAGCATGCGCCTAGCGTCGTCTCGGTCATGCTCAAACGAACCACGGGAAGTGTGGTCACAAGGGAACAAAATTTCTCTCGCCAAGTAAATATTTTATCACTCTTCATGCAAGAAAAGTTTCATGTGGGGAGCTTTGGCGAAATCCAAGTCGAGGTGCCCAATGCAACAATTACCCGGCATAGACGCTCCTTGCATGAGTTGCTTCACGATGCTTAAGTGCACGTACCATTCTCAAAGACTACGCAGTGAGAATAACCGTAGGTTTTTTGTGGCATCTTGTCAATCATAAAGGGAAAAGTCGCGATGCATTTGTATCTAGATCATCTGCCCGTTACGATCGCTATTGCTCACCAGCGCGCGGCCAGCTACGCCTTTGAGCACTAATACGCGTGCCCGCCTTGGGGGAAAAGACAAAAACGGCAAAAGGATTAAATTTTAAAGCAACCTAGGTGTTGAGTTCATGTCGCACTGTTTTGGTACCTTCAGGGGAGGTGTGCTGACTCCTGGAGGTTGTTAATATCAACTTTTGTCCTCTGTATTTCATATAAATTAGATTGCTCAAATTGTCTTCGTATTGGAACTAGGTTTTGTTAAAAAAGAATGGAGCAAATGTTGAGTGCGAAGTTGTATCAGGAGACGGCACGACCCTCTCTGGTTGTCTCACAGGTAGTCAGTTTCCCGAAGGAGCTTAGCTGCTAAATGGGGCAATTAAGCATGGCATTTTCAAGTAGGTCACCTAAGCAACTAAGAGAGACGAAACATGCTATAGTTTAGTTTTAGCGACACTTGCAACACACGGACAGTTTCATTCTAGCTTTGTGTCAATATGGATGCCAGTTGAAGGGTCGCGCGTGACACTTTTCAAAAGCACCAATACGTGCCCGCAGCTTAGAACTGCCCGTTTCTTTGCTTGCAACCGTCCCAGCTTCACATGTTTCATAGAAAACGTGGGGGAAAAGGAAATGGTCCGCCCTGTGCTAACAGAATCCACAGGACATTTCGGGCCCTTTATCGGACCTGAAAAAGGTACTTAGGCAGACAAACACCTTCTATCATTACTATCTGCTACTTGGGAGAAAAACCAAAAAGTTCAATCACTGAGGTCAGGGAAAAATCCTGGCATGGGCAATTGCGGCACTAGCTTTCACCTTGGAGAGTTGCGCAAGGCCACGTTTTAGGATACTAGCTCCACTTGTGATCCGGAAACTTTCATTCCAATGAAAAATCAAACAATGCTTTTATTGGATCGCCTGTCAGCTGTATTTCATTGTCAAACAGTGTCAAAACTCTTTGCTCTGAAGTGTCAAACAGTTTCAAAACTCTTTGCTTTGTAGCCGAAGCAACGGCCATGCTCCATATTCAAAGATTTGTTCGCGTGGGTTATTTCATATCTGTCAATATCTCGTAATCTTCAGCTCGATATTTCCGCTTGCGACGAGCTCAAGTCTGCTAGTACTATGTAGTTTGCTTCTTCACTTTATCTTTCCGAAAGTGTTTTTGATAGTGCGTGGAAGCACCAGTGGTGCCCCCCCACTACATTGTATTGGCAGTGCTATGCTTCGCACCGTGCTAGTGGAAAGCTCGTCAATGGAATTCAACTTTAGCCGGCTAAAGCGAGACCACTGGAGATGAAAGAAACGCACTTGACCGTTGACCTTTGGAGCTGAGAAGATGGGACCTCAGCAGTGGTGGGTCAAAGAGAGAGAACACTGCATAGAGAGAAGTAATGAATGATCCTCATAAGAAGAATCAACGTGTTTATTTCCGCTTTAGAGTGCAGCTGTCAACTGGAACTGCTTTTCCCTCAGGCAAGCTCCGCGATGGCCAGCCACCGAAGCAGTAACTGATATGCTAAAGCTAAATAATTCCTCGTTTGCTGAAAGGCATCTTACTCGCAGGGTAGCACGTTAAAAGGAAAAGATAGGACTGATGACTATGAGGGTCAGCATGCTGTGAACAGATGTCAGTCCTGTTGGTAAACAGGCTTCGTGGAGTCTCACATTTTGGATCGATTTCGTTTGCCTAAATCATGCTCATCTCCTAGATAATATACCTTGTTGTAAATGTTTTGATGTGTTCGTCAGCTCTTCAGTCTGTTTTCCCGCGCCTTTGAGGCCCGTTCAGCTTGGGGCTGGAGTGGACCAAATCCGCACATTTGATTTCTGTGCGATCGACAATCGTTAACCCATTGGCAATGTCACCTTTTCGTATTACTGTGGGTGAAAGTGAGTAGAGAACCCTTTTTTTGACTTCGTCTCAGTGGCAACGTGTTCACCGGGATATCATGGACCGCAGGCGGGTTTTTCAGCAGCGGACTGATTGAGTGTTTCATTTGGCTCAAACAACCTTCTACAAGCAAGGAGGCTGAATATTTTTTTCTGCTTTAGCGGCTTTTAGGCCGAAGCATTTCCTTTGTTTCGCCGAACAGAAACCGCCCGCGACCAGGGGTCACAGGAGTCGTGGTCACCCACGAGCCGTGATCGACAAAAAGGCCGTTGCTGCTGGCTTCCTAGCAGTCGCCTCTCACTAGAAGTTTTAAAGATATTAGCTTTTCTCACATGGCACTAAACGAAGACTCCTCCGCATGGCTTTGCTACCTTCCCTGCTGAGGAACCGCATAGTGTGCTCGCTGTCTTGCAATCCCCGGGGGGGTGCGTATCTCAGAGAGCACCGCAAGCACTTAGCGGCCTGCTGAAAGATGTTTGCATCTCCATTGCCACCTGGACCAGATCTGCCATCTGTTACTTCCGCCGGTGCCGCTGGCTTTGTGACCAGTGGAACTGAGTCACTGCAACGCGGCGCTGAACAGCGTCAGGGCCTCAAGAACTACCCTGCGGACAATCCCGACGGAAAACTCACAGGAGCATATACAGAGGGGACAAAGCTCACAGGAACCAACGCTTGCCCCGTCAAGCGCCTTTCATCTGTTGATGTCGAAGGCAGTGATGTAAACTTGACTGCCAGCCTAGACACTTTCATTGCTGGCGTTCAGGGACAGCGCCCACAGAACTGTCAAACTGCTGTGACATCCCACAGTCCCCAACCTGAAAGCAAAGACGAAGCTGGTGCCATCCACACAGGTAGTGCCAAGAACCCAGGAGAAGGAATATCTGGGGTAACTCGTGAACTACGCAGGGGCGGCACCATGGAAGGCTACGGTCGCTCATCGTACATGCAATCAGCACTTGGCTCTGTATTTCCTGAAGCGTATACAAATAGCTACGTGGTGCCAAGAGAAGGCGAAGCGGCTTCATTGCCAGCTACCAGCTCGTACCAGGTGGTCCTTTCGGATGGGACGTCCTACCCATCGGCAGTCTTTCCTGGAGGTAAGCAAGCTCATACTTATGTACGCCTGCTGTGTTTCAGAGCTTGGTAGCGTGTGCCAATTTTGATGTCGCTTCAAAGTGACGAAGCCACTGTGCTGGTCCTGTGCTATCTTCAGTCAGCGGTCGGGAATCCGTTACGAGGAGTTCACTTCCGCACGCTGCTGCGCCTCATAGCTACTTCTCCCCTGCAAACGTTGCTCAGGAGATTCCATCTTATCCGTATACGGAAAGTACAAACTCACGCCGTGCTGGCTTGCACAGTTCACTGTAGCGATGGCAGCAGGAAGCACTTGTTCCCGCTACCTGCCAGTGTCTTTGCACCTTTTTCACGTGCCCGTGTAGAATGCGGTTTTTTTTCCCCTCAGCAATTCACTACGCGGAGCCGGCAACTGCTGTGTCCCCAGTAACTGGTGGGACAACAAATTACTACACTTCATGTAAGACTGAGTGCCAGACAGCTGTAGCTGACACACTTCTTTTGTTCAAAGAAGCCTTTTGAGGTGAAATAAGTTGAACCTAGGTATCAGTCCCAAGGTTTTGTTCTCATTCAAAAAGTTCAGTTGCTGCGTGTGCACTTGAATAACGTGGTAAAGACCTTGCTTTGCAAGTCTGCTGCTCAATTCTCTTGGGCTCAGGTTACCGCCGGCAATTCCCAGCCTCGCCAATCGTGGCCGACTCTGCGGCAGTAGACGATGATGGAGTCCCTGCTGTTTCGCTGCCTCACGAGAAGGATTTTGCAGGGCGCAAAAGCCACGGGGTTTCGGATCAGCAAAAGACACAGAATGCTGAGGCTGCTGATAGGCCTACCATTACCAGTTTGACCGAGCCAATGCTGTTGGTCGATGGAATTATGGGTCTTCCACTCAGAGGACAGGCTCCTTCAGATCGCGGAACAGCTCTTCTAAGCAATCCACTAGCCCACAGTAGAGACGGCAGGCTAATAACTACAAAAAAGAAACTACTGGTAGGGCAGAAGGAAAAGTTAGAGTAATATTCTCATAGTTCCCGTCATTCCAGTCGTCAGTTGCAAATCACGACTGATGTTTTGTTTACGCTGCTCTGCTCAGCCTCGGCCCATGCAACTAATTCACGTGAATCGCTGGGACGGCAAAGAAGTCCTCACTGTTGGTAAGATTACTTTTTCCCTAATCAAGTCGTTTCGTTCCGTTTGCAGCAGTCGAGGACAGGCTCTCTTGCATGGTTTGCGGCCAGCGCTAGATTTTCTGGATGAGGTCTGCAGCACATTCGGAAGCTGATGCCTTTTATTGTGCTTCAGATGAAGGCGCTCGCCGGTGGCTTGCAGAGCTGTCAACTCGATACGTCGCCGTTATTTCAATTTGTGGAGAGCTTCAGACTGGCAAGTCAGGGCTAGCAAATCTTCTCCTTGACGAGTGGGTTTTTGCTTATTCCACTGCAGTTTATGACGGCATATCTAGATTTCGGCAAGGCATACGCACTCGCTATTCTTCTCAAGCCGAAGTTACAAAGAGTGAAAGATGCTTTCATGTGGCTTTTTCTGAATCGTGCAGCAACATTATGTCCAGCACCGTGGGGTTCGCTGTTGGGTCATCTACTGCAGCTCCGGTCGTCCACAAAGGCTCACGGTTTGTGCAGCGAGCCGAATCCGAGGGCAAAACAGAGGGGGTTTGGGTGTCAGCTGTGGAATCGGAAGGTGACAAAGACAACTTGGTGTACCTTGTCCTTGATTTCGAAGGAATCGGGTCAGTGACCTTCTCCAGCTCTCGTCATTTGGAGTTACAGTTGAGTGTTCGGGTGTAGCACGCTTGGAAATGATGGCTGGTAGAGCCCCTTGCCCCTGTGATGCCTGCCTTTTTTTGCTCCAGAAGCAGGAGAAAAACTGTAGAGCACGATCAACGCCTCTTTACCCTTGCTCTACTCGTTTCCCACTTTCTGGTGTTCGTTACGAGAGGAGCTGTCGACAGTGACACTCTTTTCAGCTTGGCATCTGTGAGTTGAATGACAGGTGGACACAAGGGCTTTAAGCTTACAGTGATGTGCGTACGAATGTGGCATACTTACTCGCGGACTAGAATTTCGCCTGAGTCCCCAGCTTGCTAGCCTGCACGTTCATCTGTCTGTTTTAGGCATCGGCATGGACTCAACGTTTGCGAATGACCCACGGAGGCGTAGACCGTCCGAACCAGAAGCCGCCAACGCCAAGCCATGGGGGTCCAACTCTATCCCCTGCCGCAAAAGGCAAGGCAGACATGACATCGCTGCCACCAAAGCCGGGAATTGGTTCGTCTTAGCTCAAATTGTCTAGATTCCGTTTCTTTAGAGTTTTCTTGGCTGAGCTTAAGTACGTAATTAGGGCAGCTGTCGCCCAGCTGTAGAGTTCATTGTGGGATCACTGTACAGCAGGTTCTAGCCCCCACAAAGCCTGCAAAAAAACAGTATATTTGTAGCACGTCGAACTATGGAGTCGAAATCTGCTTTCACAGTATGTACCACCGGTTTCGTGCGGGGTATTATCAGATCCCTTATCTGATTGTGATGATATTCTTCTGAACGCGCCGCAGCTTCTTCTTCGAGCAGTTGGAGGGCTCCTGCTCTTCTGTGGGTTCTTCAAGACTTCAATATGTCCATGGTCGACGAGCAGCAAAACCCTCTTACAGCTGGCGACTACCTCGAAGCCCTCCTTAGCCTGAGTGTATCTAGAGAGACAAAACACCTCAGCAAGTTGGCCTTAGGCTTGGAGAACCCTCAGATTCGCATGGCTCGCCAGGAGGTATCCGAGCTATTCGAAGATCGTGACTGCGTCGCTCTCCCCTCTCCGCTTGGACAGTATACAGCGTATTCGCAGCAGCCGCCATCAGGTCAAACTCAGACACGGGCTCTGGAGTCCGTCAGCGTCTCGGAATTTGTTCCCCTTTATCAGCGACGGCTTGCGCAGCTACGTTGCCGCGTTTTCCGGGATTGCAAAGGGAGGGCTCTCGATGGGACCGCACTGACAGGCATTGCTCTCACAAGGATCTTGGAAAAGCTTGTCGAAGGCATCAATGAGGGAGAAGTTCCGGAGAGTGTCCGGTTGCTCGGCTCCATTCAGCATGATGAATGCCGGCGCTGGAAGCAAGTGTGCGAAGAAGCATTTACGAAGGATCTCAGAGAGGCCTTTCAAGCAAAGTTACCTGTTACCACAAAGGAACTACAGGAGGGAGCGGAACAGTTGCAACGGAAATATTTACAGCATTTCAAGATCCACGCGATCGGTCAGCTAGGCACTTTGCCGTCATACCTGCCAAACCCAGGCAAAGCTGTAGTGCACCTAGACTTTCTCAATGTGGCCTGTATGTAACCATTGAAGCACAAAATACAGAGCTGCAGCTGTGACTTTCTAGCCCTTTGATTTTTTGGGATTCAGGCGACGAAGAGGTTCTTCGTCACTACAAGACACAGCTCAAGGAGAAGCTTCGGCGTATCACTGAGCGAGCGGTGGAGGAGAACGATGTACGGGACGCCAGTTTGAACAAATGATGAGCCTTTAGCTTCATTTTTGCACCCTCGTAAAGCTCCCTTTTAGTTCTCCGATCTTGCCTATTAATCGGTTCCACTTTGTGCGATTCATTATTCCTAGTGATTGAAGTACACTCACAGAGGCTTTCCTTGGCACGTGGTTGGCGCCTTTTGAGTAGCGCGGTGTGTTTCCGAGTTAATTGGTGCCAGCACATTCATTTACTCACGTCTCTGATCAACTGAGTTTTTCAGAGACACGCTGAGTGGAAATGCCGGCAGAAGGCAAAGCTTCTCAGTGACAAGCTTGGCATTGACCAGAAGATTAGCGGGAAGCTGTACATGGATCTCCAGGCACTTAGCGACGACCTTAATTTGCTACGCCAAGAGTAAGTCCAGAGAACGACGACGAGAGAAAATTTTGGTCTCACATGCCTAGCATAAGCGGTTAGTTTTTTTGCCTAGTTTTCATTTGACACAGGTACAACGCGGAGGTACGGGGCCCTCAGCATGTACACCAGCGAGTTCTAAACGACTACATTGACCAGCTGCTATCCAAAGGTGCAAAAGCCGTTGCTGACGCATTGAAGGATCTCGCGCGTGACTCAGAGGTATACGAAGCACGCTGCATCCAAATTTCCAATTTGGAGAATTGTTGTTGTTGAGTGTCACTACAAGTTATGTGTCCCTAGCCCTTTCAACGAGCTGTCTCGGCCGTTGCTTCCAACCTCGCACAAGCGGGACTTTTTTTGCTGAATCGTTGTTTTTGGATCAGCGGACGGCTGCGTTGCTTCATCAAAAAACGATGGATGCCGAAAGGAAAGGCGACAAGGCAACAAAGCTCGAACAGGAACTTCAGAACAAGGACAAGTAAAAATGCTGACGGGTTTACTTTAAATTTGAATAGGTGTAGTTTGGAGCATTGATGCTTGAGATGAAGGACTAACAAGAAAGTGGGTTGCTTGTTTTGTTACTTCAGCGAAGCTGAACAGCTCCGGCGTGAGCTTGAGGATGAACGTGAACAGCAAACATTGCAAGAGGAACGGCACAAACAGTGAGTACCTGCACCAGGAGGCTGACGCCCTCTGAGATATATCTCACGCTTGCAGTTGCGGTTCCACTTTCCAGATATTGAAGGCAGCCTGTGGCGTTTGTTTTGCTACGTGCATTTCTAGGGAGACGAAGGAGCTACGCCGAGAACTAGCGGAGCAGAGAGAAACCAACCAGCGGCTGAGCGCCCTCTACCACTCACGGGTAATGGATGAAGACGATGGATACCGCTACGGCGTGCGCCGTAGCAAGCATAGTGCCGTGGGCTTGAACGACCAGCCACGTTGTTTTGGGAACAAGTGCACAATCATGTGAATGAAGCGCTGTGAAATCCTGTCTGCAACTGTCGTTTTTCAGTGGAGCATAAGTTACTCCCACGCTATTCAAGTGAAATCATGGGCAAAAGCACAACTTGGTGACACAAGTTTACCAGTTTGACTCATTGAAGTAACGCATTGTCTGTGGCTTTCTCGCGCTTGAATTGGTTCTGTTCACTGCTGTGGTGGACAGTGCATTCCAGTCCTTATGCCGGTGCAGAGCCAGCCCCTGTGTGCATTGAAGAGCGGATTGAGGCTTGACTGTTTCTCCCCTTTGTTTTCGATTATTATTTGAATCAGTAGAAGCATAGCGGGGCCGTAAGAAAAGAGTCACACTACATACAGTGCTCTGACTTCGAGTTTATTGCAGATAGGTTTACTAACTGTTTATGATTGCACATTTCTGCAAGTCGATAAGTTTACTGGCGTAAGACAAGCGTTTACATTACCCACAGTGCGCTGACTTCGAGTTTATTGTAGATAGATTTACTAACTACGTACGATTGCACATTTCTGCAAGTCATTGTACAGTTCAATGCGCTTTGCGTGAAAGGCCACCTTGCAACTCACTTCGGAGTATAACACAACTAGCTGTTTTGCAATAGTTAAGCTAAGTGCAGTTTTCCCACTTTCCTGGGTCACACTTACGGGACGACATGGACTTTAAAATAAGGGTTTTCTTAGGTTGGGATTAACCGCTAAATACAAGCACGGATCGCTTCACTGTGCACTCGTTTACTTGCTTAAGTGGATTGCTCATGGTTGCCTTAACGCGTAGTTAGTGCTTAATCCCACGCAGCGTCAGCCAGGCTTAAACCACAGGCTCCCCGTATGGGCTGCTTCGCCGGTCGCTGGACGCTTCCTACCTAGAAATGCCACAAAACCGCTGTAGAGGAAATATCCACTGAAAAGATGGCAAGTCAGTATCGACTTCATCGTCATAACGGAGGAGTCAAACAGCAGAGCCCCTAGTCAGCACTGCAGGCGAGAATCGGGCCCATCGCCCGCGACACGTAGGCTACTTTAGCAAGAAGCTATACAGCATCTGTGGCCTTGCACGTGCCGTTTGACTCGTGAGTGAAGACCATCCCTTCAGAGTGTCTCATCGAAGTTGGTAAGGAGTGTTGGGGGGACAGTTGGTTCCCTGATATGTCCTCGTCATGACAGGCGTGCAAGGATAATTACTGCGGTGTAGATTCTGGCTGAATGCAAGACGCTGCTCAAAGTTTTCGTGAGCGTACATGTTGCCTGTCACCGTTGCGTACGTCTGTTGCGCCATCCTGTTGACTTGCTCTTGCTCGATGCGCATTTGATCTTCGTTCGTTGATGAAGCTGTGGCATACGCAGTGCCGCCTGGCAACTCAGTTATTCCATTGTCTTTTGTGTAGAACTCCGGTCCCTGTAGACAGCAAAAAGGAAGCTCACTAACACCCAATAGAGAGAAGACATGTGTAATAACTTTCACGTCAAGGTTTAGTAACTTCCACGGCACTTGCTGCGGGCAGTGATCAGCAGCAAGGAAGGCATGACTTTTATGAAACTAGGAATAAGGATATCTAATGAATTAAGGCGCGTACCGGCATGCAGTATTGCATGAGACCGCAGCCCGCGGGGTCTATGCAGTCTGCAGTCGCTGCGTTGCAGTGAGTAGCGGTGGATGCATCTAGAGGGCAGGCTTGGTTGCACAGAAGGTCTCCAGGGTTCAGACACTTGTACTGTCCCACCCACATCTTGGGCTTATCTTTGTTCGGGTAAAATATGTAAGTTCCATTTCCATTTCCAACTTGTTCTGCATACACAAAAAGAATGAAGGGAACGAGTTGCTCGCGTACATTGCCACCACGTTCTCCAAGTACAGCTTCCCTCAGAGAGCTATATTAGGCCGTTTCAGGTTTCACTGAGTCTTACTGGAGAAATCGAAAGATCTCGTTTGGTCTAGTAAGCGTTTGGGGAAGTCGGGGTCCTCAGGAAGCTCTGCATCGCCCTAAGAAGCACCATTTGGCAGACAGCTTCTATAGTGAACGCATGCGCCAGGTAAAAAATTGGTTACGCGCTGTGACAAAACTGCTAAGATTTCACAAGCCTTCAATGAAAAATTCAGGGGAAACCCAACCGTTCAAGTCGGTCCTTGGCGCACTGGCGCACCCACTAGCGCATGCTACGCAGGAAATCAACCGTCATAAGGCTCTAATTGCTGGCTCCGAAAACTTTGAAAATTTTAAGAGTAACTTGTCACGACGTGAGTTAACGCCCATCTGGGTTTGCGCAGATGAGGTACTCTCTACGAATGGCAGGAATTCTGAAGTCCACGTGAAGGGATACCAGTAGCAAAATCCGGGTACACAGACTGATACTCTTCCTCATTAGAGTCTCTCAGATACTATGTAGAGATGTATTTACCTCTCTGTAGGTCTTGACGTATGTATGGCAACGGAGGTCCTTGGCAGCGACACGCTTAGGTTTGTCGTCGGCGCTGGCACTGTTTCCCATCGTAGCAGCTGTCTGCGCCGCTGTTGGATAATGATTTGCTAAAAAATGACCAAATTGAAGTGACAGATTATGTGGTAGATAGTCTATGGGTCCCAATGATTGCCTGGTTGGGTGCCCGAGGCAGCGAGCTCAAATCGACGTGGACAACGACGTCAACACCACTGCTGGTTCAAAGAGATGGCCCCCTCCACACATGGACAAAAGCGCTTTCAGTTGAAAAAAGAAGAATTCAAGAGAAGAAGACCTTTCGGACGGCTCAAATGGGAACAAATGGGTCCTACGAGCAGCAAGGGCAACATGTGGGCGGCACCGGAACGAAGTCGGCTGGCCGGGCACGAGACGCTCGTTTGATGCACTGACGGCGAAGACCGCAAACGCTCCATTCAGTGACTTAAAACTTCGCCAATAAGTTCACAGAAAACAACTTGTAGTTGAAGTAGAAGGATTAGATGAAAAGCTTCTTGAAATTTAAGTTAATTCTCCGCAGCCATATGGTGGGCAGTTTGTCGGTCCACCATCATCGTTGGGCATGCGCGCCCTCTTCACTCATTCTCAGAGTAGGAGGACCTACTCTATCCAGTAAAACGTACCTTTATGTTTTTGAATGCCGAATAGTCGCCGCTTTCTCTTTGAAACCTGTGTCTGCCTCCATCATGATCAGCGGCTGGCACAAGGCGTGGGCTCGAGGTGCTGAAGAAATCTCAGTTTCAGCAAAATATTTATATGCAAGACGGCAGTGCAATGCCAAATGGTAGAAGAAAGTAGAAGACTATTGTTGAAGAATGGGAAGGGGGGTTTTGGGAGGGGACTAGCCCCGTTGAAATCTCCACAATGCTTCCGCCATGTTTGGGTAAAATGCATCGTGTTCTAACCGAGACCGCACCTAAGCTGATTGTCCTGCTAGCCACGAACTAGCAAGGTGTTTTGTCTGATTTGCAGAAACATCCAGAGGAGTTTGCGGAACATTGGAAGGACATAAGTAGCCGTACACATGCTGAGAGATGACACACACCTGCACCCGTTGATGATGCTAACGCAATTATGCGAGTGTTGACTAGAATCAACCTATCTCTACTTACATCATATTCTCCACTTTGTTCTGCTGCATATGCTTTTTTGGCCTTGTACATGGACCCCGCTTGGCGGTTTGCATTCCACGTAACAACTCGCGCCTCCTTGCACTTCCAAGTACCCAGAAGCAAAGAGTAATATAATTCAACTCAAAAATATGAACTTGCGCTCATCTATTCCAGGTTGGGTAGGTGCTGCATTCTAGAGACGCGAAATCCGTGTACACGGGTCATTATTAAATAAGCCTTCAAGCACAAAAATTGTGTTGCTACGCCCCTAGTATTGGTTCCAAAAGCGCTGAGACGCCACCCAATGCAGCACAGACCAAACATGCAAAAAATTCGAGAGAATTTTTGTGAAGAAGTTTTGCGGCTATTTCTGGTGGGCCTTCATGGTGCCCTGCCAGGGCACCATGAAGGGCAAAGTTGCAGCCTGTGACGGTATAATGTGACAAGTAGAATCGTGAGATTGACCGCTTTACTGAGCATAAATCCCGAGCGAACGCTCATTCCGAAGCACTAGAGGTACTTCCTTATTCACTTTTGGGGCACAGTTCGTGATCAGACTGCCATCCTGAGGTAAGTGCTGCTATTGCAGAATGTAACCGGCGGGCAACGCTGCCTGCGTTCTGTAGCATGTACTGATGCGATTTCATAGAGCATTCCCGTGCGGAATAACTTACCATAGGCGTTGCCTGCTCAGTGGTAGCTCACAAAAACAAACCCAGCCTGGGCCTCTACAAATATTTTAGTTTTTGCAGTACCGAGTCGGGTAGCCCTGTCCCGACCGTGTCTATTTTGCACGAGAAGAAAAAGACTTTCAGACCTTCCTTGCATTATACACCAAGCATAACACTTTTTGGGTGCTGTTCCACGCTTTGATGTGTCGCCAATAAGGGAACTTACAGTTGGAAAGCCTGGCAAGTGTAGATTCAATGTACATTTCAACGGCACAAGCTCTTGCAGTTTCAGAGCTATGCCTGAGCGATCAATGAGAGAAGTGTGGATCTGTAAATTTGACAGTGCTACTCAACTAGCTCTTTGGAGTAAGAATGTTTTCACGCTGCTTCTCCCATTTCGTTTGCCTTCCATCACTTTGACTTTTCCCGTCTTTTTTGGTGTTTTGGCGAGCTTCCGCTGGGCAGTCTCTATGAGGACATCTCCACAGCAGGCTTTGTGGCTGCGTTTATGGACGGCCAATTAGAGAAGTGCACACCACACGTTCACGGCACAAGTTCTGTGAAGCCTGAGATTTGTGTTTCAGCGTCAGTTGATACGCGGAAGGTTCTTGTTTCAGATCGCGGAAGAGCTGCTAACTGCAGCGAACGTAACGTTGTCCTGAGTAACCGACTATTGTAGAAGCATTCTTAACAACGCGCACAAATGGTGTAAGTGATTACGTAGAATCAAACACTTTTTTTTAAATCCAGAAATTTTTAGTGGATACAAATGGAACTGGAGTCTATTTGCAGCGTCTGACCCCTGTGTCTGCGAAGTTTCCCCGCCTGCTGCAGAATGCAAACAGCAAAACCTTTTTCTTGCTGTAGAGCTAAGAAGAACTCGCCACACTCAAAATACTGTTTCTCTAAACATACTTTATCGTAGGTGTACTCCGGATGCGTTTGAATCCAAGCCACGGACCGAGACTACTTAAGGGCTTCATTGCACTGTGCAGCTCTGTCAGTCAATTCTTGCTGGCGTAGGCTACCACTTGAAGCTAGTTCTTGAAACGTGTGTAGCTTGACTTATATTTAATAGAAGTGCGCTTTTTGATTAGCGAAGCCCTAAATGAGCGCGTGCACACTCGACAGACTTGGGACGCCTACCCCCCTGGCTTGTAAAGAGGGCTAGCGAACGTCCTATTCCTGGCCCCACAGAAAGCTTCAAATATGTTTATTATAGAAACTATCGTTGATTATATAGTGCCTTAGAGAGATTAGCTCGTAGGCAAATGCTCCATGAGCATGCATTGTAGTGCTACATGCAATGAATTGAGCACGTCAAAGGACGTTGATACGCCACGGAAACTCTAACGAATTCGTTCAACCTACAAGTTGGCTATAAATTCAACTGCATGTAAAAGAAAGTTTTGTTGGTGGCTAGACTCTCAGACTGTGCGGGCAAACCTAGCGTTTTGGGGTGGCGTTGACCCAGCTAGCAGAGTCTCTGTACTTGCCGATCAGTCGATTAGTCGGGCGTTGCGGAAAGGTATCAGTCCTTTAGCTCCTTTTCTAAACCCTTCAGAACTCCCAGAATTCCTACATCAAGCATCAAGTGTTCAATGTGCAAATATTCCCATGCTGGCTTTCCGTCGAGTTGCGCGATGGAAATTAGCGGGCTGTAGTCACTCACCCAGGCAGGCGGGTTCTTTTGCTGTCCTGTACGGTCTAGCACCAGTTATGGAACAATGAAGGCGTTACGTGCAGGTTCGTGTCAAACCCGCTTTCTTTATCAGCCCGTTTGCCTGTCTGTGTCCTCTCTGTTCAGGAAATGTTCACTTGATGTTTAGCACTAAGTTTAGAAGACCAGAAGCGCCTGTCAGTAGCAATCGGGGTCACGGCGGTGCCCCTAACGGCCCTACAGTTAGGGAAGTGCTGACGCTGTATTCTTCCCCCCTACTTTTGTCTGCCGGAAGTTTACTGGTTTAGGACTGTACCCTGCATTACTTAAGTGCACCCAGTAGAACTCTCTGGGGATTCATGTGCACTGAAATGTCCCGGTGCCTAGGGCCTCCTAAAACCTTTAACCGTGGGTATCTGTTCTAAAAATCATTACTTGTATAAATGGATTCTGGGTCGAGACAACATGCCTTCCCCCAAGTCGATACTGCGACGGACCCAAAGCCAAACTATCAAGAGTCCCGGATAGATTAAAGCCACCTCCCTCCAGACCGTCAGGAAAAAGTGTACTCGCGATGGCAACATATTTGTCTAATCCAGAATCAGCAAAAAAGATGCCACTGAGTGGTTCCGTGCATATCCCTCATCGCATCGGGAGTCATCCCTGGCCCGCAGTGTTGCAGCGTCTCCTCCTGCAACTTCCACCTCGGTCGTAACAGTATCTACCCTCATGATCGGGTAAATAAGTTCACGAAACCATGCTTTACCTGCTGTTTTTCGTTTCCATTTTCCATGTGCGCCTGAGACATGCCTGCGCGCCAGTACAACTACACCGAGCCCTGCCTTCGTTCCATGTAGCGCTTAATTAAGTAACAAATATGATTGTTAAGTACGTTGATAAACTAGTGAATCATTTAAAGACGAATATAAGGCGAGTAAGCCTACATACACCAAACCGCGAAAGGCCGGAAGCGGCTGTAGACCGAGGCTGCGGATGCTGCGCCTCGAGTGCTCCAACCCGAATGACGACAGCGCGGTAAGGGCAAAAAACACTCAAAGTATGATGACTCAAACATTATAGGAACTCCATTCATAAGAATGATAACATTTTCTCCGTAGAAAAAAAAATTGAGCTGCAGAACATCTACGAGAGCAGTGGCCGTGGACATCCTACACCCACAAAGGCCTAGCCTGAACAGACAGCCCCACTTGTCTGTCGCCCGTAGCAGCTTCATGGTTTACCATTATCTGCAAATACAACTAAACTTAAGTAAATCAGAGCGTTATTTTCCCTTCAAGCGAAAATGGGGGGACACCCTGCTCTGCTAGTTCTGGCCACCCTGGTGGCGGCCGCCTTTGTGTCTTTTGTCGGAGCTTTCCAAACTTCGCGAACAAGCTCCGTTATGGGCCCTTCAAGTCTTCACGGGATGGGATCTTTGAGATCCACAACTTTGGCGCCTACTAGGCAGATGGGCTCGAGTTCCTTGGCAACTTTCGCCGCCCCACACGTTGTCAGGCAGGCCCCGTCATCCACAGGTGTCTTCGTGAGTAATTCTCGAGTGCAGAGTCATTCGATCTCCCTGCTACGTATTTTATGCGGTTTATTTTTGGTGTTCCGTAGATTTCATGATCAGTTGGTGGAAGAGGTGCGCAACCACGTGGACAGCATGAGTGGCATGGGAGGCTGTTGTGCTCGCAGGCAAGAAGATCGAAGAGAATCATCTTGGCCGATGAATGCAGAAACCAACTGCTAGAGGGGATTCAGCAAGTTGCTGATGCTGTTCGCGTAAGACGCTGTTCTTGCCTCCCTGAAGCGTTTTTCGATTCTAGGTATTCTTCTCTAGCGCCCTGGTTGTTACGTTGGTGGGTTTTTGCATGCACGCCGTGTAAAGGGCTTGCTGCCATTGGCATGCAGGTAACACTCGGGCCTCGTGGCCGAAACGTGCTATTGGAGAAGGACTACGGGCCTCCGCTGATTGTGAACGACGGAGTCACAATCGCACGGAACATAGAGCTTCCTAATAGGGCACACAATGCAGGAGCGAAGCTTGTGCAGGAAGTTGCCTCAACATCTGACGAATGGGCTGGAGATGGGACTTCTTCCACAACAATTCTCACAGCGGAAATAGCGAAGAAGGTACTATTCGTGGCCCCGTGGGTCCCAGGCCTGAACTAAATCTGGAAACCCTAGTGGCTGGTAGACCTAGTGATTGCTGAGCTTCGTGTGTGTATAGGGTGTTGAGTACGTGAACCAAGGCCACAACCCTATTCCTTTGCAACGCGGTATTCAAAAAGCTGCGCGCATCATGATGGATGAAGTGAAGAAGCTTGCGAAGCCCGTCAACGGTTTCGGCGACTTGTTGAACATCGCGACTGTTGCGACGAGCGGAAACGCCTCGATGGGCGAAGTGATTGCGAAGGCTTTCGACAAACTGGGCAACCACGCTGCGATTGTGCTGGAGAACAATCCATCGCAAGAGGACAATGTGGGCAAAGAAAGCTCACCCTCAGGAGAATCTTGAACCCACATGGATACCGTTTACGTGTCTGAACGAGAAAAGAACTCAGTATGAGTGACACTGCGGTTGTCCTTTCGTTGCAGCTTGAATTCACGGAAGGTTACACCTTCGAGAGGGGCTTTAGCTCACCGTACTTCCTGCTCGGCGAGGAGGCAGACTTCATTGAGTGGAAGAACCCCCACGTGATGGTCTGCGACTACAAGATCGAGAGCGCTCAAGCCATGTTGCCGATTCTCGAGCACTTTGTCCGAACTAAGGAGCCGCTCGTTATTATTGCCGAGGACTTCTCCACGGACATGCTTCAGACTTGCATCATTAACAGCATGCGGAGGCTGCTCAAAGTGGTGCGGGTTCACAGCGGAAAGCGAGGCTGTATGGCACACAAATGAGACATCCATAGAAACGGCGCTCATACGCAGCTAAATGCAAACATTCATTTCAAATTTGTTTGTTCAGGTGACCATCCGTGCCCCTTCGTTCGGTGAGCGGCGCAAGGACTACTTGCGTGACATTGCAGTGGCCACAAACGCCCAACTGATCTCGAAGGATTTGGGGCTCCCGCTCGAAGATGCGACTGCTGAGCACATCGGCAGCGCTCAGGGTATAGTTGTAAGAAAGGATCGGACGTCCATATTGACAAGGCCTGAGTTCCAACAACAGATTCAAGATAGGTGAGTTGCGGCCGTGCTGCTGGTGTTCTTGCATTGTTAGCTGTTACTTGTTGGCATTCCGCGTGGCTTATTACTGGCGGTCCTGCGTTTTCCAAAAGTAGTGAAGGCTTTCTTTCGCCATGGCTATGACTTGTGAACCGCAGAGTTCAGAGACTCCAGGCAGAGATCGACTCAGCCACGTCGAAGTTCGACAAGGAAAAATTGGGCGAGCGTGTTGCTGCCCTTTCAGGAGGCATTGCAAGGATTATGGTATGTTGCCAACAGACTTCGGGATCAACTAAAAGCGGAGGATTTCCCTGTTTGCGTGCTAGTTATCCTATGAGTTCACAACCAGTGGCAATTATTCAGCTTCTTGCTTCTGCCTGAGATCTGCAGATTGGCGCGTCCACGGAGACAGAGCAGAAAGAAAAGAAGCTGCGGTACGAAGATGCCATCAATGCAGTCCGAGCTGCCATTGAAACTGGGTACGTGCCTGGCGGCGGCGTGACGTACCTGGCGCTTAGCACTGAGCAGTTCCGGAAGACAGTCCTGGACATGGTGGAGAAGACCGCTAGAGAGGAGATGAAGGGAGTCGATGAGTCAACTGGCGAGGAGTTCCAAGTTGTTGGTAAGTGCTGTCTGGCGCTCTCAGTTCCTGCTGCCTGTGCTTCACAGTGCGACTGCGGCGTGGGTTGTGACTTGCGCAGAGGAGATGGAAAGTGAAATCGAACTGCAAAAGGCAGGAGCCACCATTGTGGCGGATTCGATGGCATCTATAACTAAACAAATTGCATCAAACGCTGGTACGTTTTCCGTACAGAAACGCACACTGTCCTGGGCGCTGTCGAGTTCGTTTTCGATACATGCATGCAATCATGTTTTCTGTCTTCGGGTGATTGCTGCAGGCCTTGACGGCGATAGAGTGGTGAACGCAATCTTAAATGCCAAGAAGCCTTTCGGATTTGGCTGGAATGCAAAAACAAACAGGTTTGGTGACATGATCAGTCAGGGCGTCATTGACCCGGCCAAAGTGTGCATCTCCGCCATCGAACACTCAACCTCAGTCGCGGGACTTGTCCTCACAACAGAGGGCATGATGATTGAAGAAGAACAAGAGGCGAACAAGACTCCTCAAGAAGAAGCTGAACTGTGATCGGCGGATCGCCAGGTGTACAATGCCAGGAGGAGTGCCGAGTGCAAGTCACTTTGCCTTGCTTTCGGCGAAAACGATTAAGCAAGTTGCTTAAGTTGGTGGCCTTGACCAGAGGCATTGAAAACTAGCGAACAGCTATCTCAACTGCAGAAACCTGTTCTGGGTAGCGTTTGTGGAGGATGTTGCACAGCTTGTGTCGGCTCACTCCCCAGCTCTGATCAAACGGGTCATCTGTCTCGATCTGTGGCCAAGTTCTTCAGAGTTTTTGCCGCCAGCAGTGACACTTTTGTCTTACGGTGCTTCCAAACGTAACAGTCACCGAGTCTTTGTCGTGAGGCACGACGACTTCGATCGGTGTAGAAAACTTTCCTTCACCAACGGGGCCTGGGGGTGACCAGTGGTCACGCGCAAGCCCCGAGTGCAGGCCAGCTGGGGAAGTTACCTCCACAAGCATTTACTGCTTTTTGTTCAAAGTCTTGTGAGTGTCTGGCGCGGCGGCCAATTCATCTTTTTCAAAAAGTCCAGTGCTTCAGCCATACCGCTCAGTCCAGGAGTACACGAGCTCGCCGCCCGGCCCTTTGTCCAGCAAATGCGAGCAAAGATGTCTTTGCAGTTTTTCTCTCTTTGCCTTACCAACATCAAGCCGCATGAAGCCGGTCTCTCCCACCTGCAGTCTTGCAAAGTAGACTAAGGCTAGCACTGCGTCTTAGGAACAAGTCTTTACCCAAGCATCAATAAAGTGGAAAATGGCCTTGACCCGCAGCTCCTTGTGGGGCGGCAGGCGACCGAAACTTTTGCTGATTTCTCCCTGAGACCTTGTTAGTTGAATTCCCAGTCAAATGTACTTCGGCTCATACCTTTGCAAACTTCCCGTAGCCTCCCAACATGGATATTCCGGCGCATGACGACACAATTTCCTGTGCCGCTGCTCTGCAATTAGTGTTTCGTCTGCCTGGCTCGCAGGGTCTGCAGCCAACCTGGGTTGTCCCAACCTTCAGCTTTCCCTGCGGAGAAGTCTTCGCGGTGCGTTGTGCGAAATTGTGGCACGCCGTTGACCAGCAGGGGTCCTTGAAGGTTTAAAGAACTGATTATTCATATTAATGCGAGGCGGGATATAAAGATAGCGTTCAGTAACACCTGGTCGAAACGTTGGCATAGATGTTCATGGTGTCTTCGCTGTCCACGCTCAGTATTGTTGCTCGTGGGCTTGCTATGATGAAGTTCCCCGATCCATCGATGCCCATTTGAAACTGATCGGGATCATTCCCAATGCCGATCATTGCATTTCTTCCGCTTGCTGGCGCTACGCGCAGCTGTCCGACTACCATGCCCGCCTGCGCCGTGGGGGGCTCTGCACCAGCAAGTACTGCGTTGTACAGCGCTGCAGCTGCAGCAAACGCTGCTGAATGTAACATTGTCGCAAACTAAAATATCAAGCCTTGCATATGCTTTCTGCGTCCGGCCATGCGAGAAAAACCTGAACGCAGCTTTCTGCTGTGCGCTATTCTGGGATGTACGTCCACCTTCTATATGGACAAACTGCCTCATTGGAAGCTGAGAGCATGCATCGAAAAACATCTTGGCTCTGCAGAGTTTTTCCTAAAAAACATTTAAAAAGGGTCTGCCTTCATGGCTCAACCACAGAACGCAAACTATTCGCTTCAACTGTGAGAACCCAGCAAAGAAGGAACTCCCGTTTCCACACGCTGGCGTTCTCAGCCCCAGCTAAATAAAAAAACAAACGTCCTCAAAAATCGGAAGGAACAACACAACATTTCGAATTAGTGCTGCGAGCACCCTGCATGCCGCGACGAAGGTTTTCGTTAACGCCGAACAAGCTGCTGGCAACTGGCCAGCCATGAGGGAACTCACCCTGCTGCGGGATTGTGAGCGAGATGCATCATTAAGCTTCTTACGAGCCCTCACCCGCTTTCGAGTCTGAATTTGTTTCCGCCATTCTGGAGAAGTACTCGACAAAGGCCGACACAGCCCCATCCCGCCGCTCGTCCTGCAAAATGCGCCTCGCAGCAGTGCTCGCAGGCAAACTACAAGTGCATGCAACTGCAAAGGCCAAGCCACAAGTAAGTTTCTGTGAGACTTGAAATAGATATTCGTGAGAGCAAGCCCACCGTCTCTGCCCACTGCATTTGCAGCCGGTCACGCCCATTGTGAACTGCAACAAGAGACAAAAATTCAATAATGATTCCGCCTCCCTCCATCTGGCTGAGTTTCAGCTGGTGGCCGAAGTCGCAGAATTCGGGTGTCTCGAGAGACACCGGAGCCGGCGCTTCGCCGCTCGCGCTGCGCTGCCTCCGCTGCTGCTCATAAGCTTTTCTGCACTGAACAATGTAGTCCATGAACAGATGGAGGAGTTGCTGAAACACTGCAGCTTCCATCTCCACTTCATGCCGATAGCGCAGCGAAAGCAGCTGAATGCAGCGCGGCGGGCCTCCCGCTGCAGCAGCAGCAGCTGCCCCCACCCCTGCAGCAGACTGTGCAAATTGAATTTCTTCTTTGCTTCCCGGGGAGGCCCCTGCGCAGTCTGCTGCTGCAGCGCGAGGCCCGCTGGGCGCTGCAGCGTGCCCCTGTTTGCTGCTGCAGTGCTTGAGGCTCCCACAGCCGTTGGTTGCTGCTGCTGCTGCTGCTGCCACGAGGCTGTCGAAGTCCACCAGCAGGTGCAGGTCTTCCGCGGGAGTCTCAGCGCACAACTCTTTGCTGCTGCTTTCCTCTTTTGCTGCCCCGCCAGCTTCTTCTTTTGCTGCACTTCTTTTTGAAACTCGGAAGAACAAAGAGGGGGGGGGGAAGCAATAGGGAGAAGCTGAAGAGCAGCGGGGCCCTTGGGCGCTCGCCGCGGACTGCGGCAAGTACCTTCGCATTACTGGAGATTCCAGTAAAGCTGTCAACTGAAAAGAAACACAACACAAACCCCCACTTAGGCTTTCTCGCTGAGTCCGTCTAAGAGCAAAAGCATCTGCCCCCGCACACGCAAAAGGCAGCAGCAGTGGAAAGCAGCAGCAGCAGCAGCAGCAGCAGCAGCAAATTCGAAAGTAGCTCGCTTATAGGTCAACTCGTGTCTTTGACTCTCTGTTTGCAGCAATAATTCCATTTATTCAACATTTTCGGAGTTACTCACCGCGGGGTCCTCGCACTCCCAAAGCGCCTCTCTTGAACTGGCAGTTGCTGCTGCTGCTGCTCTTGAACTGGCAGCTGCAGCTGCTGCAGCTTCCTTAGGCGCAGCCAAAGTGCGGCGGAAGCAAAGATCGTGAATGTAGACAGAGACGCGGGGCTCTGTCTTGTCGAGAGGCACTGACACGGTCTGCCCCGAAGGCGGAGTGTGCACGGGAACTCCGAGTTCCCGGTGCAGCACTCGCGCCAGCTTCAGCATTCCCTCTTTCTCGCCGTGAACCAGCATAATGGCTTTCGGCTGCAAATGCCTCGCCAGCTGCTGGATCCCTGTGGTGTCTGCATGCGCCGAGAAAGACATGTACCTCACCTTGCACAACACCTTCAGCCGCGTCCTCGCGTCCAGCGGAATGTCGCGTTGTCCTGCGCCACCGCAAACAGCCTTCTCTTAAACTAAAGCATGCAGCTTCCTCGGAGTTGCCAATTCACTGTCACATTTCAACTATAAAGCATGCAGCTTCCTCGGAGTTGCCAGTTCACTGTCACATTTCAACTATAAAGCTACGTCGAAGGAGCCTCAACGGTCAAGTGACAGTGTAAAGTTGATATTTCGTCTATTTTGTCGAAGGAGCCTCAACGGTTAAGTGACAGTGTAAAGTTGATATTTCGTACGTCGAAGGAGCCTCAACGGTCAAGTGACAGTGTAAAGTTGATATTTCGTACGTCGAAGGAGCCTCAACGGTTAAGTGCCAGTGTAAAGTTGATATAAGCATGCAGCTTCCTCGGAGTTGCCAATTCACGGTCACATTTCAACTATAAAGCATGCAGCTTCCT